AGTTGATTCAGTACTTGAATAAGTAACGAGCTCGTATTGATGAATTTATTTTATAAATATATTATTCATTAGAGAATCAATGCTATTCAAGGGTAAATAAGTACCTTAATTCTTCTGTTAACCTCGCTAATTACATATTTATCCTTGAGAACCATTGATTCTTTAATGAATTGTATATTCATAAAATAAATTCATGAATTCGAGCTCGTTACTTATTCAAGTTCCAAATCAACCTCCAAGGGAATTATTTATCTACTTCTTCAATGAAGAAGCCAAAAAGGAATGGATTCCATCTCGTATTTTAAAATTTTCGACTACCTACTTCATCATGTCTCCGAGATACAAGGAATATGATTTAAAATCTCAAAATCCATACTTATAAGTAAATCAAAAGACATAAATACATAAATAGGAGTCTGCTAATAACTCAAGATTAAGATCATTCTTTATATGACCATAGGTCGACTCAATTTAACTTTCTATACTTAACGGAAATTATTAGAAATTCAAATCGATTATGTGTCCCAGTTCTACATAATCTCACTATGCATAATACACTCATTTTTTTATTAAATAAATAATAAATATTCTATTACATCTCATTCTTTTTAGACACTATTCCTAACAATTAGAAATTTTCACGCTTTGATTCATGCATTTTGATAATCATTAAAAATATATTATTCAAATTTAACAAAAGTTATTTATTAATGATTTTTTATTTTCAAATAAATATTTAAAATAAAATATTTTCTTTAATTTTATATGGAAGAGAAAAATGGGTAGATTGGGAATTAAGTTTTATTATTAAGGTTATTTTAGTAAACTTAGACAATGACAACAAAAGCTGTTGTACAAAAGTAACTTTTGACATGCTTTTAAATTTTATTGTGGGGCAGCAATTTTTACAAGCTTATGCACAAAAGCAGGTTTTGCTAAACATCTAGACTTGCTGTAGCTTCTAAAAGAAAGAAGCTAAAAGTAACCTCCAAAAGTAATGCCATATGGCTCTTAATGAGAGAGGGTCTTAGAGTTTCACAAGTGTTTGGGTTCTGAGGTCGGTCGTCTAGTTTTTCGCTGGGCTGTCGGCCTCCAAATCTCAACGGAAAAATCACAGTGTTCATCAGAGACGGGTTCGTGCCGATGAAAGTCTGGGTAGCCACTGGAATGGAGCCGCTTAAGGGGAAGAGACTGTTGATCTTTTATCGTAGATCTAGGACGCGTTCGCTGTGGGATCCTGTTGAAACTTCAGGAACTAGATCATGGGAGGAAGGAGAAGAAGGTACTCTAGTGTGTGTGTCAATCATCACCAGAAGGTGGAGGCGCGTGTGCCCCACGCACTGCCGAGTTTCAAGTAATTTTGGTGCCGTTTTGGGAGGCTTTTTATGGCTCCGTTCCAACCATTCTTCTCAGATTTCTGACATTGAGGGACTCGTTCTTGTTGGTTTGATCTCTTTGGTTTTATCTAATTTTTATGTCAAAGTTTTTGTGTTTATAATAAAGGTAGTGGTTTCCCCACTTGACCCTATTTTATTTTGTTGTTTGAAGATAGTTTATAGTCATTAGCTTAAGGCCGTTTGTATGCCCGAGTGTGGACTTCTTCGTCTGATCAGAATTTTTTTATGTCGTGTTACTGATGTTCTCTTTTTTATGGGGGTTGGTGGTCTGTCCCTCCAGAGTTCAGAAGTCTATTCCGATTGGAGGGGTTTCAATTAGAATCTTAAGTGTTCTCGTTATTACTGAGATTTTTTCTCATTTTTGGACCTCAGGCGTACGTCTGTTCCTTCGATGAGGCTTTATCATTGTATTAAATTGTATGTTTCTCAATTTTTGTTTAAATGCAATTTCCCTTTCAAACAAAAAATGATGAATGTTAATTTTTATACATTTTGAACAATCTAATTTCATTTTGTAATACTATTATCTTTTTATACGTCCCTTGCTATTTATGAAATTTATACTTCATTAAAGGGCACAAAGCCAACAAAACAAGAAAAAGAACGATACCCGTTCAACAGCACAACCAAAAAAAAAAAAAAAAAAAAAAAAAAAAAGAAAAAGTTCAAATGGCACCTTATATATCGAGATTTTTCTTTCTAATACATCAAGATGATAATAAACAAGAAAGTACAAAGCAAATGACAACAAATATTATATAAATATATAATCTGTACGCAAGAATCATTACCTAACTCCTCAAATGTTTCAAAAGAAATATCGTAAAAAAAGTCATGACATTCATGAATAGATATTGCAAGTATAAAATACCTTTTTTTTAGTTTCCATTTTGCTAGTGTTGAATGATGATCTCTCTTTGTTGTTTTCCCTTCAAATTTTCAATGTTAAAATCCAAAGATATTAGCTCCTGTTTAGTAAGGCAGATACACGATGGAAGGAAAGTACGCTTTTTGCATGGAATAGCAAGGGATGCAAGAAAATTGAATAATTGTATTTTAGAATTAAAAACAATTATTCAAAGTTAATTGATTATAATAAGGGAATTATAATCAATTTATTTTGAATACTTAGGGTTGTTTTAGAGTGTGACTTGAGTATAGTTTTTGAGTTGAATTTGAGTTATAACTTGAGTTGAAGTTGTAACTTGAGTTTGTGTTTAGTTGTGTACATTTGAGTTATGGTTTGATATAAGAATCTTTTTGAGTTTGTGTTTGAGTGAGTCAAAACTTGAATTTGTATTTAGATAGTATTTTAATAAAAACTCAATGGTGATGAAAAATTTTAATAGGGTATGTGGGTGGGATTTTATTTGTCTTTTCGTTGTCAACGTATAGAAAAAAATCATCTCAATCAGGATTAAAACCAAAAAAATTATAGCATTTTTAAGAATAGAAAAAATACTGTTCATTAATTTGAGTTCGAGTTTCTGAACTCGAGTTGAAGGGAAAACTTGAACTTGAGTTCAAATTTGAGTTCAAACTTAAAAGAATATGAACTTGAATAAAATTGGAACTCGAATTACCTTTTTTTGAGTTTTTTAGGCTGCCGAACAAGGCCTTAATAATCCCATTTGAAAAGAGAAATATAAATTTAAAAGCTTAAATAAACAAAGTTTCTAAATAATATATTTTCATTGAAAGGATGTACTAATAAGTAAAATGATATGGTACATTACTGAATAATTTCTCGAGATATACAGTTGGCATGCACATGTAGGGTTGCACTTCATATACAATCCAATTAATAATTGCACCCAAAAAAATCGCGAATTAAAAAAGTAGATACTGGCCAGCAGTAGTGATGCCTTTTTCAGCAGAACTTGAGTTAAACTAAATTTTAAACTAAACTTTTAAGTTCTTGCATACTATTTGGAATTAGAAAATTTCGATGGGGGTAAAGTAATAGATTTAAGTTCAGATTTAAGATGTAAATGAAAATTTTAATACATTTAAGCCCCATTCACTTCGCTTCGCTGATTCGAGTTTAGAATTCGAGTTTTTCTACAGTAAAAAGCTTTCACAAACAATCACATCTAACTTTTTTGCTACAGTAAAAACCTCTCACATAAAACCACATCTCAACTCGAATTTAAACATTTTTTCCCGGGGGTTGGGGGCTAAACAAGGAAAAAAAAAAAAGTGGTAAAGTAATAATTTCACTTAAAAATTTAACAAAGCAAGCTGGGCTGGGGGCTTTCAGTCTTCAGGCCTAAGCTGGATTCAGCAAAGCAATTTACTCCAGTTAATTATCAGTGATTAACTTATGAGATTACCCTGGATACTTTTACCCTTTACTCTTAATTTATTACCTTTTTAGTTAAATAATTACACTACTAAAAAGGTATTTATTAAGAATAAGAGATAAAAATTTAAATTCATGCACTCTTAAGAGTAAATTCTCTATTTTTTTTAACTTATTAACTCCAGTTAAATAGTAATTATCTATATCTAGTTGTTTGGGGTAAAATTGTCTTTTTATTTATAGAAAGTCGTACGTGTTAAACCTTTCCACAAAAGTGGTAGAATTGCATGACAGTACCATAGTAAAGGTATTTTCCTAATTAAAGCAATATTTTAATAATCTATATTTTTATGAACTGAGATCCTTTAGTTTTTGGTTTGTATTTGCAACTGTAATTTATTAATTTGTTTTTATAAAATAAGACTTCCAAGAGATGTAAAACAAAGAAAAAGTTATTTTCTACACCCCCTCTTTGTTTTTAAATTTATAAGGCTTATTTATTAGAGCATTAGTCACAGTTTGCTGATTTTCAACTTACAAGCGACTCTAGTTCAGTGTCTTAATGTTTTAGATCGACAAGTTAGGCAATTTTTTGAGGAATTGAGCAATAAGTTGTTATAGTTTTCAGCACCACAACTAATAAAAATTGAGGTCTATCATACCCACGTTGTTAATCCGTGCTCAATACCATCATACTTTTAGCACTGTTCTTTATTTATCATTTGATATTAAGATTTTTTAAAGTTGTATTATACTCTATTTTCTTTAAACAACTAACTCCTTTAAATACCCACCCGGAACTAATTCCTTTAATTTAAATTTGGCTCATATCGATAATGTCCATTATTTTCTGGACGCAAATCAACAAGTAAATTAATAGTGTTTGCTATTACTGTTATTATATTTACAAAAGTCAAGTGCACATTAATGGACCCGTCATAGGATCAAATTAACGTTTGCAAAGCTGAAATTTTTTAATCTCACAAGCAAATACTCAGAAACATATCTTGAAAGATCATCTTTGAACTTCACAATAATAAATTTAGTTTCTTCATCACATGTTGCAATATTAAGATAATCATATTGAATCACCACATATTATTTTTTTAGGTTAATTAATCACCGCATAAGTATGTACAAGAGCAAACATCAAAGATATATAGCTGGCAATGCATTACATACATATAAAATCACATTAATATAATTGCACAAGAAAAAAAAATCGAATTAATGAGTAGCTACTTGCCCGCGTTATAACATGCGCACTTATTTTTTATTAATTTTTTCATAGCTCACATAGCCTATTTCTCTTTACTGGTCAGCCTTATGTACTCTACCAAACGATCCAAATTACAATACGATGACCCACCTTCACTTACACTTTCTTTCGCCAACCGAGCCATCTCAGCCGTTGATCTCACAAACTCCTCCCTTCTCTCCACCATCAGATCAATAACCATCTTTTCCACAACTTTCCTATCACAAACATCCTTCATGTCAATCCCAAGCTTCCACACCTCACCAACAAATCTACTATTAATCTGTTGATCAGCGAAATAAGGCCAACATATCATAGGAACTCCAGCCACAATACTCTCCAAAGTCGAATTCCAGCCACTATGGGTCAAAAACCCGCCTACGGCCTGGTGGGCCAACACCTCCACTTGAGGGACCCACCCAACCATATATCCTCTCTCCCTCGTCGCTTCCAGCAGCTCCGCCGGGACGTCACCTTCGCCGCCTTCTCCTGTCACCATGTCCGGCCGTACGACCCACAAGAACCTCATGTTGCTGTTCACAAGACCGTGCCAAAACTCGATTAGGGCTTCTCTTGTCAAGATCGTAATGCTTCCAAAACTTACGTAGATCACAGACTTGGAAGGCTGAGAATCTAGCCAGTCCATGCAGTTTCTGTCCACTTCAAAAATACTATTCGAAGATTGGTCAGACTTTGAAGCGTTCTTCCTCGCCAACCTTAGTTTGAGGTGAGTGTGGAGAGGTCCGATGGTGTAGGTTTTAGGGCAAATCAGGCTTCTAATATGGGAGAGTATAGGCCCTTCAAGGTCTTCAAAGGTGTTTAGTATAAGCCCTTGTGCTCTACAGCTTTGACGGGTTTCTCGAGCGATTGAATTGAGTTGTGGGTTGCTTAAGTCTCTCACTTGGCAGAAACTAGGCAAGTCGCGGCACCTTAAGAAGCTTTCCATGCCGGGAACGCTTGTTATTAGCCTATTCATGTCTTCTTTTTCTTTTTTATTTTCACCATTATTTCACACCAAGTACGTCAAAACTCAAATCAGTTAATACATAACATACTGCAATAACAAAAGAAGGACAGAAAGGGGATCATGCAAGCTATAACATGAATAGATTGAGTTATTACCTCTAAGGGGAAGCTCCCCGGCTTTAATGATATCGTCAACACAGAAGTGTATCCAGATGCAACAGGCACTAACTGTTCGAAAATGAATTATGGGAATTTGAAATTCATAGGCTAAATCAGTAGCAAAGCGAGCAAAAGATCCATCAGCTATAATGCAAGTCACCGAGCCCAATGCACCGGAAACCAGCATCTCCTTCAACACCGGCTTGGTTGTCGCAATCATTGAATGAAATACCTCTGTTCTTTCATGTGAGCGCGGGTGGTCGTCTGGCAGGCCGTCGGGGACGGTTCTGAATAGGAGCCCGGGATAGTCGGCAAACCGGGCTTCAACGTCAGCATGACGGAAAAGGCGATTGTGGATGTGGTCGGTGTTGAGAAAGGTGACGTCGATGCCGGCGAGGCTGAGAACCTCGGCGAGAGTGAGCATGGCGGTGACATGTCCCTGCGCCGGAAAGGGGAAAATGAGAACTCTTGGTGGGAGGACTAGTTGACGCCTTTGGTTCTTCATTTGAGTTATGAAAATTATTTAGTGAAAGTGGTCAGCCGCCATGTAATCAAAATCAAGGTACTTAATTTGTCGTCGGTTTATTTAGCTAGGAATTAGGTTGGGCATGATCCCATAATGGCAATCTTGGCACATGATGGTAGCTACGCAAGTTTTGTTTTTAGTTTTTTAGTTTTTATTTTTATTTTTTTATACTTCCAATGACAGATCAATAATTTTATTGCCCTGCAGGCATCAATAAAAAAAAAAAATCTGTTAAGGGAGAATCAAATTGACACACATCGTGTTTTATCTAAACAATGAAGAGATAACTTTCAATTTAGTGGGACATATTTCTCAGTGCCGCACGTTTATTGATACTGTTAGCAAGGGCAATGCTCGAACTTGCTATGCCCATCATATTATCACAAGTCTGCGCTACATGATTTATATTGATTATATTAACCGTTGTAATATTCTTCCCCAAAAAGGAAAAAAAAAAATTACATTATTCATTGGGATAAAAACCAATCAGAATTTAGAGGCATCTCTCAACTTTTCTAAACAACTAATTATAGACGACAAAAGCATGGCCAGCGAGCAGATGAGATTGCAAGATCTACTCTCGAGAAGAACAGAGAAAACGTCTCCATTAAAACATGATCGCTCAGTAAAATCCAATGAGCAAAGACGAAGAAAGAAAAAAAATAATGCACGATCTTGCATCTTCCTCCATCGTAAACAACAATAAGAAATCCAACGGTACGTAGTTGAAGAATTCGGCAATGATCTTATTGTTAGATTTTTATAAGATTTATGTTTAAACAATTAAGTATATGTTGGAACAATATTGAGGGTATTATTGTATTTTACTTTCATACCTTGCATTTAGAAATTAGTAAAAATTAAAAATTCTAAAATATGAAGGATATGTATAAATATGTATATATTACATATTTGTCTTTTTCGATAGTCAAAATCACCCATGAAGCGAAAAGAATAATAAAAAAAAAAGGTAAGGATGAGTAAGGCATGGATTTAACGTGATGTGAATTTGAAATGTGAAATACAAATATGATACAATTTAAAATATAGGGTATAAATTTTTTAAGAGCATTTTTAAACATCTCAGTGGAGCTGAATGGCACCACGAAACGGCACCGCGCAACCGTTTAGCTTTTTTGCTTTTTTAATATAAACTTTAAAGTACAGTAAAAAAAAAAAAAAAACTATTATATTATTGAGAAATACAAGACAGATTCTTTATTCAGAAATATTCATTGTGCAGAAATTCCATGATCATCTACGGTGAACTTGACATATTCTGTGTTAGATGCTGCGTGCGTCAATTTTTTATAACATCCTCTAAAGATGATATTTTGCAGAGTCTAGAGAGCTTACTCATGAGCTGAATTATAATTCCCGGTGTTGTTAAATGTGAACCTTATATCCTCTATCAACCGATCCAAGTTACAATAAGATGACCCACCTTCACTCACCCTCTTTCTCGCCAGCCTAGCCATCTCAGCCGTGGATCTCACAAACTCCTCCCTCCTCTCCACCATCAGATCACTCACCATATTTTCCACAACTTTCCTGTCACAAACATTCTTCATGTCAATCCCAAGCTTCCACACTTCACCAACATATCTGCTATCAATCGGTTGATCAGCGAAATAAGGCCAACATATCATAGGAACTCCAGCCACTATACTCTCCAAAGTCGAATTCCAACCACTATGAGTCAAAACCCACCCACCGCCTGGTTGGCCAGCACCTCCTCTTGGGGGACCCACCCCACCATGTACCCTCTCTCCCTCGTCGCCTCAAGAAGCTCCACCGGGACGTCCCCTTCGCCGCCTTCTCCGGTCACCATGTTTGGCCGTATGAACCACAAGAACCTCATGTTGCTGTTCACAAGGCGGTGCCAAAACTCCATTAGTTCGTCTCTCGTTACGGTCGTAATGCTTCCAAAACTGACGTAGATCACAGACTTTGGAGGCTGAGAATCGTGCCAGTCCATGCAGTTTCTGTCTACTTCAAAAATTCTGTTCGAAGATCGACCGGGCTTGGACTCGTTCTTCTTGGCTAACCTGCGTTTGAGATGAGTGTGGAGAGGTCCGATGGTGTAGGTTTCAGGGCAGATAAGATTTTTAATATGGGAGAGTATAGGCCCATCGAGGTCTTCAAAGCGTGTTGGAAAAAATAGAGAACTTACTTTAAGAGTGCGAATTTTACTTTTTATTCTTAATAAATATCATTTTATTAATGTAATTATTTATAAATAATAAAAATTATAATTCATATATTTTAAGAGGTATTGGTTAAGATTACCAAGATGGTAATAATAAGCTCTTGGGCTATACAGCTTTGGCGGGTCCCTCGAGCTCAATTGATTCCTGGGTCGCTCAAGTCGCTCACTTGGCGGAAACTAGGCAGGTCACGGCATCTTAAGAAGCTTTCCATGCCAGGCACACTCGTTATCAGCCTATCCATGTCTTCTTTTCCTTTTTCTTTCCTCATCATTTTCATAACAATTACGTCCAAATTCTAATCATTTTATATAAAGAAAAAACGAAAAAAAAAAAAACAAGAAAAACAAAGGAATGAATAAAGGAAATCAAGCAAGCTTTAAAGTGTACCGTCAACGCAGAAGTGGATCCAGATGCAACAAGCACTAACCGTTCAAAAATGGATTATGGGAATGTGAAGTTCATAGGCTAAATCAGTAGCAAAGCCAGACAAAGCTCCATCAGCTATAATGCAAGTCACCGGACCCAATGAACCAGAAACCAGCATCTCTTTCAACTCGGGTTTGGTTGTGGCGTTCATCGAATAATACAACTCCATTATTCTGTCCGTTGAACGTGGGTGGTCGTCCGGCAGCCGTCGGAGATGGTTTTGAATAGGAACCCGGGATAGTCGGCGAACCGGGCTTCAATGTCGGTGTTTCGAAGCAGGCGATTGTGGACGTGGTCGGTGTTGAGGAAGGTGACATTGATGCCGGCGAGGCTGATAAGCTCGGCGAGTGTGAGCATGGAGGTGACATGTCCCAGCGCCGGCAATGGAAAAGTGAGAACACTTGGTTGTGGCCTTTCGTTCTCCATTTGCATTATAAAAATAATTAGTGATCATAGGGATGAACCAATATGTAATCAAATTAATAAGTACTTAATTTATCCATTGTTTTGTTTAGCTAATTAATGGCACGTGGCAGCTACACACGTTCTGTTTTGTTTTAATTATTATTATTTTTTAATGACAGATTGAGGATTTTATTACACTGGTGGCATCAATATTAAGATTGCAAGATCTGCTATTGAGAAGAACAAAAAATGTCTCAATGAAAACTTTCCTCAGCAAATTCCAATAGAAAAGTACCAAGCAAGAAAAAAACAATACACGATCTTAACCTTCCTCCATCGTGAAAGGCTACATTAAATCCAACAGTACTTAATTAGTTGAGGATAAGTCGGCAATATTTGACTTATATATGTTGTCAGATTTTTGTAACATTCATAATTTTTAAACATTTCAATATATGTTTAGATAATATTAAATATGAGTATTCTTTTTTATTATTCAGTCAGAACCACTATATTGTATAAAAATTCCCTTGAAACGATCAAATGCCTGGTCCAATCAATTCACGATTACTTCCAAGCGCCAACTTATGAATTACGCGCCAACATTTGTTAATTATTTGAGCAGATGTCAGCGTGGATCAATAATATTTTGGACAGACTTTACAATTTTTTTTTAATTATAACCTTTTATGTCCTCTATCAACCGGTTCAAATTGCAATAAGATGTCCCACCTTCACTCACAGTCTTTCTTGCCAACCTAGCCATCTTAGCCGTTGAACTAACGAACTCCTCCCTCCTCTCGACCATCAGATCATTGATCATCTTTTCCACAACTCTCCTATCACAAACATCTTTCATGTCAATCCCAAGCTTCCACACATCACCAACATATCCACTAATAATCTGTTGATCCGCAAAATAAGGCCAACATATCATAGGAACCTCAGCCACTATACTCTCCAAAGTCGAATTCCAACCACTATGAGTCAGAAAAGCTCCCACAGCATGGTGCGCCAGCACCTCCTCTTGTGGGACCCACCCTACCATGTATCCTCACTCCCTTGTCGCCTCCGATAGCTCCTCCGGGATCTGACTGTGGCCGCCGCCGCCATTCTCCGCCACCAAATCGGGGGGTCACAAGAACCGCTTCTTGCTGATCACCAAATTGTACCAAAACTCCATAAAGTCTCCCTTCGTCATAATCGTAATGCTTCCAAAACTGACGTAGATCACGGAATTGGGAGGCTGAGAATCAAGCCAAGCCATTCAATTTCTGTCCACTTCGAATAGACTGTTTGAAGACTGATATGACTAGTTGGAGTGGGCGTGGAGGGGTCCAATGGTGTAGGTCTTGGGATTACTGTGAGATCGAATGTGGGAGATTATAGGCCCTTCGAGATCTTCAAACGTGTTGAGTATGAGCGCTTTGGCCCGACCGCTTTGAAGGGTCTGTCCAGAGACTAGTTGGAGTTGTGGGTCCCTTTTGTCGGTCAGTACTTGGCAGAAACTTGGAAGGTCACGGCACCGTAGAAAGCTTTATGAATATACGAACATATATAATTTGAGCGACATATATAATCTTTAATTCAAAAACGTATGTATCGTTGACTGTACATTTTGAATTGCCAAACTAATTTATAGCTAATTACAAGCATAAAATATGTGAAAGATTTACCTCTAATTGGAAGCTCGCTATTACAAGCACTACAAGAATAATTACTTTCTAAACTTTTTGATACCAAAAAAGTTTTGGTAGCAGAAAATACATTTTTTACTATCAAACTTTAGTAGCTGAAAGTATGAAGGCTTTAGTTACCAAATTTGACAGTAAAAACAACACAATCCATTACCAAATATAATTTGGTAATAAATAACATGACGGGAAATGAAATTTAGTTCCCACCAATAACTTTTTGCTACCAAAATAATATTTGGTAACAAAAACATAAGATTCTGTCACCAAAAATTTGGTAGCAAAATATTACGTTTTTGCTACCAAACATGTTTTGGTAACAAAAAGTTGGCGGTAAGCAAAATTTTTTCCCGCCCGAGGTATTTGCTACTGAATTATTTTTGGTAGCAAAACAAATAACATTTGTTACCAAGTGTTGGAAGTAAAATATAACTATCTGCCACTAAAATTTGGTAGCGAAAAATCAAGTTTTTGCTACCAAAAAACATAATTTTTTGCTATCAAATTTTAGTAGCAAAAAAAAATTTACTACCAAATTCTTATTTTGGTGACAAAAAGGCGTTTTTTGCTACCAAAAGTTGTATTTGGTAGCAAATCATATAAAAACATTAAACTTTATATTTTGTGCTCGTATTGTTTTTTTTTTCAATTTTCTATGAATATGTCATATATTAAGTTTTAACAATCATCCTAGTATATAACAATTATTTGATAATTTAGTTATTTTGTGTTGGTGTAACAAGAGACATGCTCATATGTACACATATGTGATCTTGTTAATTAAGTATATGTTCCACATAGAGTAATATATAATCTCGTTATTTGATTGATTTTTAACTTTGAATAATGTATTTCAATTTCAAAACTACTTTTTTTATTATAATGTTACTAGAACAATAATTTTAAAATAATTTGTCATTAAAGTGTATTTTTTTAATTTTAAATATATGTCTTTTTGATACCAAATTCAAATTTGATAGCAAAAAATATATTTTCAGTTACCAAAATTATATTTGGTAATAAAAAACATATTTTTTTAGTACTAAATTTTGGTAGTAGAAAACATAATTCTACTACCAAATTCATATTTTGATGGCGAAAAGGCATTTTTTGCTACTAATATTTACTACCAAATGTTTGGTAACAAAAAAAACGAGGCCTTCGTAAAAATAACTCTTTTGAAAAATTTTATTAGTAAAATAATTTTTTAAAATTTTTATTTACAAAATGACATTTTTTTATAAAAAATGAGTAAGTATCTTTTTTCATAAAAAAATAAAAAAAAATCATTTTACTAATTTCATTTTATTGGATAGTCATTCTCACGTATTGCCCCAAAAAAAACATAATATTTGGTATCAAAATAATATTTCAAACCACACCCACGCTTGAGCTCAAAATCCCTATACGCCTCCACCATTTCTCCACCCGCCGCTCCTCTTCCCCTTCAAAACACACCCACGCGTTTCACCCACGCCCTTCTTCCCCTTCTTCGCCATCTTCTTCAGTGTTTGCTCCGCCTTCTTCTCCAGCCGCCGCTCCTCCTCCGCGGCCTTCCACTCTTCTAGCCATCGCCGATTCTCTCTAGCTCTAGATCTCTCTGTCGCTCTTTCTCTCTCTAGCCACTGAATTTCACCGTCGCCGACGCCGATTCTCGCTTTTGCCGCCGCCGGTCAACACCTCCTCCTTCTTTCCGGTCAGTTCTCTCTATCTCTTTCTCTCATCGTTATGTTGAATGTGGTTGCAATTTCAAAAATGAGATTTCGCTAATTTCTCGTTCTGAATTAGGGATTTATGTATGAAGACTGTAATTACAGATAATGGAGATAAGGAATGTTGGGAGTCTTTTAGATTGTGGATTAACTAAGTTCACTGAGCCATTCGTGCTTTTTTCTTTTCTTCGTGGAAGCAGAGTTAGATTAGGGTAGCAATCTGCCTTGCTAAGTTCATGGTTTAGGGTGTTTATTTTTCTAGCAATCTGCCTAGACCGTTTGGCAACAAGGAGGTTCAAATAAATTTGCAATTACAGCGATTGCTTTGATCTGTACAATTAGCAACTCAAGAAGAATAAGCTCCTTCCATAGTATAAACATGGTTCAATTATATGCCCCAATACACTTGTTTTCTACACGTGAATTTTGAAAGAAAAAACGATTAGACTATGGAACTTCAGGTCATATAAGAGCCATATATAAATATTCAACCCTTCGGAAATAAATTTTATGAAACTTAATCGGATTATATAATGTGAAAATCAGAATCATATGCCTATTGAAGAAAATAACATTCTCTTGAGTTTCCTGATCGATTGCATATTTGTTTAGACAACTTTTCAAACTTGTCTTCTGTCTTGACAAGTTTTTGTTTGATGTATTGTGGTTCATGTCTTGACAAGAATAATTATGCCACCAACGACACTCATATCAATAGTTAATTTGTTTTGATTATTCAATTCGTGATGTTTAGGATAGTTATGGATAAGAGTTGGATTTATGTGACGAACCGAATTTCGGAGACATATATGAGTGGAGTGATTTATTGATTCTGCAACTGATTATAGTAATTGATTAGGTCAAATTATTTCAGTTTAACTTCAAAATATGCATTTGTGATTGTTTGAAGTAGTTGTAAAACTGTGACAAGATTTGAATATACCATACCTCTAATCACTAATTTCTATTTTTATTTTTATTGTTTCAAGATATCAGTTATGTCTACTCGTAAGAGAAAGCTATCGTTTAGTTCTGGTTCAAAATCCAAATCCGCTCCATCTCTGCGGGATGTTGAGGCATCTCTTTGGACTCCTTCAGTGGCATCTTTAGGCACATTAGGCTCATCCACATCTTCACGAGCAGATAATGAGTCATCTCATGATCATCAACAATTGCATGAGGATCAACCTCCGGAGATTCTACGTTTCAATACACGTAAGATCATAATAATTATTTTTAATTGAGTTTTTTTTTTTACACTATTCTACATTTAACCACCTTTGTAAATAGCATGGTCAACAAATGTTTGAGGACCAACTACATGTCAAGGAATTAACAAGTTAGTGTCCAAGAAAGGAAAGCTTCAAGTACAATTTAGGGAATCTGAGCTCCGAGTTTACGGGGAGCATGCGGGCCGATTTGCGAGCAAAATCGGTTCTATAGTTCGTCACCATGCTCCATTAAAGTATAGTGGTTGGGGTAAGATTCCTGAAAACGAACAGAATGAATGCATAAGACGATTGAAGGTAAAATTTTCTATTGTAACTTATTCTTTATAACGATTGCACTTATGTAAAAACAAATTTAGCAACTTTTTTTTCTTTAAGATCTATTTAATTTAGATTTTGAGGCGCATCCACAATTGAAAGACATTGTGCATCAATATTTCTATGAGCGCTTTAAAGGTTATCGATATCGGTGCCACCAAAAATATCAAGCCATTATTGATGAAGGAAAAGATCCATTGCAACATTTACTGAATCCATACATTAAATCAGATGATTGGGAGTGGATGTGCACGAATTGCTTTGGCGATGATCAATGCTAGGTAAAATGAACAATTTAACTGTATTATGAGATGTTTGTTTGAGATTGTGGTTTTGGATATGCAAATTGAACCAATATGTGTGGTTTTGGATTTTCTGGGTTAATTGAAATTGTAGGGGAGATGATGTCGAAATTTCTATTATATTTTAATGCATTTAAATGCTTCTTTTTTTCATTTATATAGAAAATAGCACAGGTTGCTGCTGAAAATTATTCTAAAAAGCCAACAGGTTATTTGGGTGGCTCAAGATCTATAGTTCAACATTTGGAGGAAGTCCATGTAATTAACTTTCACTAACTTTAAGTATATTACCACTTGAAACCATAATTTCTTTTTTCTTTTTAACTAACTAACAAATAATAATTTTTATGTAGAACACACATTCAAGTTCTGACTCAAATGCTTCGGGAGGGTATTTTGAGGTCTTTAAGAACACTCATTGGAGCGAATCACGGGGATGGAGAACTGAGAGAACAAAGGAAGATTATGTAAGAATTATTAAACACTTTATCATTTCGTTTGATTTTGTATTTTTTTTACTCTAACTTGAGTTTATAACACTTTGCCTAATGCAAGAACAAATGATTAAGATCCGCAATGCTCGTTTAAGTGAAGTATTAGAGGGGTAAGAACTTGACTCTGATGCAGAGGAAGAAATTTACTCTCAAGTTTTGTCAAGTGAGAGGTATGAAAAATATGGTTTTAAGCGTGACATAGGCCCTGTACTAAAAAAAGCGCCACAAGGTCGCAAATCTAGAGGGTTAGGATATGAAAAGCTTGAAAATGAAGTTCAGGAAAATAAACGTCGTATGTCGGATATGAAAATTCTAATAAAGCAACAACATGAGCTTATTCAAAAGTTATTTTAACAGATAAATCCGCCGTCCGATCATCCTGGACCTTCCGTTCCAAGAATAGAATATCCACCGCTACCGCCACCACCAGCCTCAATTTGTTAGAGCGTTTAATTTTTGTAATATTAAGATTTTATTAGTACAATATTTGCATAAATGTTTAGGTTTGTTTAAGTATCATTATTTTAGTATTTTGTTTGGATTATAATATGTATTGAAATATTTAGAGATTTTTAAATTAATATTTAGTTTTTATTTATATATATATTTTTTAAAAATACAGGTATATAAATCTGTCTCAGTTTTTGTCACTAAAAAACTCATATTTTTTGCTACCAAATATATTTTGCTACTAAAATTTTGGTAGCAGAAAGCTCATAATTTTTGTTATCAAATATATTTTGCTACCAAAATTTGGTAGTAGAAAGCTCACACTTTTTGTTACTAAATATATTTTGCTACTAAAATTTTGGTAGCAGAAAACTCACTTTTTGCTATCAAATATATTTTGTTACAAAAATTTTGGTAGCAGAAAGCTCACATGTTTTGCTATCAAATATATTTTGCTACCAAAATTTTAGTAGTAGAAAGCTCACACTTTTTGTTATTAAATATATTTTGCTACTAAAATTTTGGTAGCAGAAAACTCACATTTTTTGCTACTAAAAGCCTTTTGCTACCGAAACTTTTGGTCCCTTAATATCATATATTTTGTTACCAAATACATTTCGTTACCAAAAATTTTTTTGGTAAGAAAAACTATTTGCTACTAAAATTTTGGTAACTAATTCTTTCTGCTACCCACTTTTTGCTACTAAAATTTTTTTGATAATAAAAACATTTTGCTACCAAAAACAGGGTTTTTTGTTACCAAATTTTTTGTAACAAAAAATTCAAACTCTTGTATTGGCATAATATTTTTTTAGACTTTCTTAAATATTGATGCTAATACTATGTTTACTATTTAATATGTTGTTTTAATTTATTCTCTATTTTGTAATGCTACTTTAAATGTATTATCTACCTTTTTACATGAGCATTAAGCTTTCATATAGAAGTAAATTTTCTAATTTTAAATAATCTGAAAAAAAAAAGCAACATCATAATGGTTAAATTAAAAAGTTAAAATACCAATGGGAATCAAATTAAATGTTAAGATTTAGGGGTGTTTATATAGATTGAAATTCATGGAATATGGGTCAGTCCACAATTCAATCCAAAATTATTAGATTGAGAAAATTATCAATACAAAAGTTTTACTAATCCAATCTAATTCAAACAGATCGGATTTTACATATTGAACTTTCTATGGATTTGGGGCCTTTAATGTTAATAAGCATATTAAGCATAAAATAACCTCAATAAAACTCAAAATCCAATTTATATATGACAACTCTGTCAATTAAGACAAACTAGCTTCAAGAAGACTCAAAATGAAGTCTCATCATTCATCAACATTATGTTAAAGTTTAGACTAATTCACCACCACATTCCCAATAAACGTAACATAACTTAAAATAGTTCAACAAATTTCAATTCATTCCAACTTAAGTAATTATGAAAAATTAGTTTCAATAAGATATAGGGGAAATTTCATATTAATATAATGTGTTTTAGTGTAATCATTTTTTAGTATCCTGTGTTTTTAATAATTTTGAATTAATATCATGACGCTTTAAGAAATTATTTTTTAATACTAAAAAATAATATTTTAAAACGTTACGGTACCAATTCAAAATTTTTAAAAACACGGGATACTAAAAAAATGATTCCACAAGGTATTAATATATGAAATTTTCCCTAAAACATAAATATATATAATTTAAATTCACGAATTTTACTCATTGAGAAATGTTCAATTCACTAATCAATTCAAAATCTTTGAATTGAGATTTTCTCAATCCGTAATCAATTCAAAATCCCGTCTAATTGAATCTAATCGAATTAAATGAATTGATCGGATTCACGGATTTTGTAAACACCCCTATTAAAATTAGACATGTGTTATATTTAAATTTATCCCCAATTGTATAGCATAAATTAAATTTAGCACCAAAATATATAAAATTTTATTAATAGATAGCGATTCACCTTTTCAAATGTCAAAATTTTACACGCTAATTTAATATTACAGTAGAAATTCTTTAACATTACATATAATAAAAAATCATGCAAAATTAACAGAATTTAATATAAATCTTACTCTGTAAGACAGAACCTCTTAATATGAAAAAACTCCTCCTTTAAATAACTTAGGCCTTCAGAAGTCCAAAAATCAGTTACAGAAAACAATATATGTCGTTCCATTTCACACAAAAACACAAGTTGCATATTCAGCAAAGAAAAAAAGAAATAAAAAGCAATGGGTGCATTTGGAATTGGTTCTAAAATGATTTTGTTTTTTTGTATGAAATTGGAAATGAAAATCTCAGGGAGAAATCGTTTTTGAAAATGCGTTTAATAGTTTTATTGAGAGATTATTTTCAGTATAAGAAAAAACTAAAATTCTGTTTGGTTATACATTTTTGAAAACATCTAATAGTATTTTAAAGAATATATTAAATAGTTAATAAAATCCTAAATCAGTTATAATAGTAACTAAGATCTTATTTACTATACTTTCTTATAACAAATACAATTGAGAGGGCATTTTAATAATTTTACATAATAGTTCTAAATCTAATTTTAAGACTCAAACATCCCATTATGTTCAAATCATAACCCACCCTTATCGATGGGTGGCTGGGGGTCTACATAAGTGACTACAAATCGGACTGTCACGATTTCGGTCACGAAGGAGGCGGTCAAGAATTGAAAACTGCAGATCGGAGAAAGATCAGAGGAGGCAGTGAAGATCGGAGGAAGCTTGTCGGAAGAGAAGAAGAAGATCACGCATCGGTGGAGGAAGAGGAAATTGTGCTGCGAAGGAGGAAATCATGGGCGGAGATGGGTTCTGAGCCTTTTGTCGCCGTCGTGGGTCAGTCAGAGGTTCTCGTCACCGTTGGTGGTTCTCATCGTCGTCGGTGGGCTCTTGAGCTTTTCGTCCTCTCGGGTCAATAGGAATTCACCGCCCCAAGGACGGGAACCGTACGACGCGACAGTGACAAATTCGCCAGAGAGAGAGATGGCGAGAGTCGGTGGATCCTTAAGGCGTTTGCCTGGTGATAACGATTTCATCAGATTGTAATCTCCATTAATTAGAGAAGTAGAGTACAAAGTGGACCAGCATTCTCGGAGTGAGGGAGGAGAAAATGGAAATACATAAACAAAAATGAAAAAAAAACGTTTTTAGTTTCTTCCTCATAGTACACTAAACCAAAAACCGGTTTCATTTCTGTTTCTTGTCCATCATTTAGGCCAAACAATGTTTCCGTTCCCAGTTTCATTTTTTCTTCTTGGAAAACGTGAAAAACTTTTTCAAAACTAATACCAAACGGGCATAATAAGTTGCATCCTCTTGGTCTTGTAATTCTCTCCACCCAAGAAAAGATAAAGAACGGTGGATGTACACGGAGCAAAAGACAATACTCAAAATTTAGGACCCGTTTAGTTCGTTAATTTGAGTTTTTAATTTGAATTGAGCTGTATTTTAATGTGAGAGCTTTTTATTGTAATAAAAAAGTTCGAAATAACTGTTTCTGAGAGCTTTTTACTGTAGCAAAACTCGAATCGGTGAAATGAACGGGGCCTTAGATCGTATGTTCATTTTATGACTCAAGTCATATTACTACAGTGTTTTTTAATAAAAATTAAAATTTATTTATTACAATATTTTTCTCTCATATACACAACTTAAATCATAATTCAAATCATGTAAAAGAATAAGCTCTTAATATTTTAAATGAGATTCAGAGTTTTTTGTCTAATTTTAGTGTTTCAATTGGTGTTTAATCAATTATATTACGTCACATCATATAAAAAAGTTTAAATTATCTTTTAATTACTTTTTTGTGTTTATCATGTGATGGTATATCATGATTTAATTAATTAGATACGAATTAAAGAGAGCAAAGGGATGATCTGGATTTCGCATGGACCAAGGCGAGACACGTAGTCAAAAGAGGAAGGACAAGATTTAGGGTGCCATGGACACGTACATGGCAAAGGATTACGATAGAAGTTCACAGAACCCTAGTTCTTGATAAGATACAAAGCGTCAAAATCTTCTCTCTCGCATTATACACACACACATATATATATACACACACCCCCCTCACTTTTATCCACGCAGAAACAACCATTTCTCTTAACCAACAAAAGAAGAAAAGAAAAACCCTTTGAGTTAGCAATGGCTCTGAGCCTGTTCGGTGGACGACGAAGCAACGTCTTCGACCCTTTCTCGCTAGACATATGGGACCCTTTTGACGGCTTCCCCTTCACGACGTCCGTGGCCAACGTGCCGTCGATGGGGCAGGAGACGACGTCGGCGATCGCCAACACCCGAATCGACTGGAAGGAGAGGCCGGAGGCGCACATAATCAAGGCCGACCTGCCGGGGCTGAAGAAAGAGGAGGTTAAGGTTGAGGTGGAGGACGGGATGGTGCTCAAGATCAGCGGCGAGAAGGCCCGGGAGAAGGAGGAGAAGGACGACAAGTGGCACCGCGTCGAGCGGTCGGTCGGGAAGTTCATGAGGCGGTTCCGGCTGCCGGAGAATTGCAGGACGGACCAGGTCAGGGCCACCATGGAGAACGGGGTGCTCACAGTGATCTTGCCCAAGGAGGAGGAGAAGAAGCCTGACGTTATGTCTGTTGAGATTTCTGGCTGAAATCAAAGTTTCAAGTTACTGCGTTTCGGTTAAGAACTCTCTTTTTTTTTTTTGTGTTAATATATATATATATGTATATTTATTATATATCTAAGTGCGAAAAGATGGTTTATGTGTGTTTGTATAGTTATGTTTTTCTTTGGTTTTGTAATCAGAAGTGCACCGTGTGCGCATTTAGAATCGTGGTTTTTTGGGGTGTAAAAACATGTGTATAGCACCGTGCATGAAGGGTATGTAAGTGACGAAGATTGCAGTACAGTACAATGTATATAAGGTTGCAGATAAATATGTGAATAGTTTTTTTTTTTAATCCTTGATAGTATTTTCGTCCAATCATTTTGTCAAACATAGCGTATTCTTATGTTTTTGGTGATTTTTTTCTATTTTATTTTATTTTATTTTGGGTGAATTAGATGAGGCATCGTTATATTAACGGCCCTTGTGATTGATGGAGTGGCTAAGTGGGGCGTGTTAGTCCTTCGTCGCTCCCAATTTTGCTGGTTGTTGCTTCCATTATAGTCTTCTTCTCCTGGGAAAAAAAAAAGACAAAACACAAAATTAATATCATCAAGGAATTTAATTTGCAGTTTCACGGGGCAAAAAATGAAATAGAATTGTCCCGTGTCATTAGTTTGCATTGGACGACTCGGTCTTTCAGGTTTGTGAGGCGTCACTTTCTCACTCTTTTAAGTATCATGTTAGCGTCACTTTCTTACTCTTCGTTCACTCTTTTAAGTATCATGTTAGCGTCACTTTCTTACTCTTCGTTTTAATGTTCGTTTTAATTTTACTATTAAATTTTTTTATAAAAAATTACATTTTAACAATAAAATTCGAACTAAGTGTTTTTTATGCTGTAATATTTGAATATATTTAATTATGTGTTATAATATAATTGATTATAATATAGTTAATTAGGTACTAATTGAGATAATTTATAAAAATTAGACAGGTGATTTGATTTTAAACAAGTTGTTGATTTCAGATAAAACACAACCAGAAAACGTACACGTATAGAGATCAAGGCACAAACGATTTATTTGGTTCGGGCTTTAGAGAAACCCCACATCCAAGGGTAGGGAACAAATTTCTCACTACAATCCACTATCACAAGAAAAGAACAATTATATCCTCTTGATCTCTCACAGATACAACGAATGTCACTCAGAATATACAAGCTCTGATTAAACCCTTGAGCTATTCCCAAACACTCGTTTCTCACCTCTCGGTTTTCACACCCAAGAACACAGTCTTTATCAGAAAGATTACAGAGAAAAATTGAGTAAGATCGATAATAACAGATCTCAATTACAAGAGACTTATTTATACTAAACCAATAACTAGACTCTAAAGACTAATCAGAGTTAGGCATTTAACTAATCCATGGTTAATAGCAACTAATTCAATTATAACAAATAAGCTGCAGTCTTATTTGTAACTAACCAACTAATAAAGAATATAGCCTATCAAGATAGAGTCACATCTCCAACATAATTCTATCTTGATTCTGATTTGATAATGGATTAATGCTAGGAACCCTGCAATCACTAAGGCAATCAAGTTGGCAAAATACCAAGCAAGTTTAAGCCTTGCTCAAACTTGCTTACAGGCAATGCCTTTGTTAACATATCAGCCGGGTTAACCAAAGTGGAAATTTTTTCAACTTTGATTTTTCCTTGTTTTATGATTTCTCTTACAAAGTGCAATCTAACATCTATGTGTTTCGTTATTTCATGAAACACGTGATTTTTAGCAAAATGAATTCCACTTTGAGAATCACAATTAATTGTGGCTGTACGTTCATTGATTCCTAGTTCCTTAGTGATTCCTTGTAACCAAACAGCTTCCTTGAATGCTTCTATCAGTGCCACGTACTCGGCTTCAGTTGTTGAAAGAGCAACAATGTGTTGCAAGTTTGATTTTCAGCTGACTACATTTCCACCAATAGTAAAAACATAACCTGACACTGATCTTCGCTTATCAACATCCGCAGCATAGTCTGAATCACAAAAACCTTCAATCACAGCTCCACCTTCATGGTTACTTCTATACACAAGACCAACATTTGCAGACCCTTTAAGGTATCTAAGGATACATTTCACAGTAATCCAATGCTCCTTAGATGGTTTACTCATGAATCTACTCACCAAGCTTACTCCATAAGCTAAATCCGGTCTTGTTCCAATCATAGCATACATCATGCTACCCACTACATTACAATATGGAACCTTTTTCATAAATGCAGCTTCTTCACTTGGCAGCCCATCTTTAACCGAGTAGAGCTTGACATGCAAGGGAATAGGTATAGAGGCTGCTTTCGCGTGCTCCATGCCATAGAGTTCCACAACCTTCTTAATATATCCTGCTTGAGAGATAGAAAGAGTCCCCTTTTCTCTATTCCTTTTGATGTCCATTCTGAGAATTCTTCTAGCATCCCCCAAATCCTTCATATCAAACTCTGATTTTAAGATCATTTTCAATATGTCAACTTCGGAATTGTCTTTGCAAGCTATCAGCATGTCATCTACATAAATAAGTAAGTAGATGAACATGTTTGTCTTGATTTCCCTCAAGTACACACAATGATCAAAATTTGATCTCTTGTAGCCATTTTGTAGCATAAAGGTGTCCAATCTTCTGTACCATTGCCTTGGGGATTGTTTCAATCCGTACAAGGCCTTCTTGAGGAGACAAACCATGCCTTTTGTTCCATCCTTGATAAATCCTTTTGGTTGTTCCATCAGGATTTCTTCATCAAGATTTCCATGCAGAAAAGGAGTTTTGACATCAAGTTGTTACAGCTCTAAATTTTGCATGGCTACTAGTGCCAATAACAACCTGATTGATGAATGTTTGACCACAGGTGAGAACACTTCATGGTAATCAACCCTTTCCACCTGAGAGTACCCCTTTGCAACTACACGTGCCTTGAACCTAGCTGGTTCTACTCCAGAAATCTCGGGCTTCTTTTTAAAGATCCACCTGCAACCCACCACTCTCTTGTTTGGTGGTTTCTTGACAAGTGTCCAGATCCCATTTTTATGAAGAGAATCTATCTCCACTTGCATAGCTTGAAGCCATTCTTGCTTGTGTTTATTGATGCAGGCCTGTTCAAAAGATGTGGGTTCCTCCAGCTCTATGATGTCACCAATGTTTAATGCGTGTGAGACCATATCAGCTTGTGCAAACCTAGATAGAGGTCTAATTTCTCTCCTAGTCCTGTCCCTGGAGAGAATATAACCAGAGAGATCACTATTTACATCTTCTTCATCATCATATTGAGACTGGTTGTCACCTCTTGTTTCAATTTGTAAATCTATAACCTGTTCAGAAACTGGAATATTTAATCGAGGTGCATCTTGTCTTTGATCAGAACCGGGACTCCTTATTTCTCCACCTTGATCAAAGATAGATGTTCCACCTTAATTAGAAGTACCTACAAAGTCTTCATATCCTAACTCAAAGGTAAAAACATCTGCAAACGTACACACATAGAGAAAGATCAAGGCACAAACGATTTACTTGGTTCGGGCTTTGGAGAAACCCTACATCCAAGAGCAGGGAACAAATTCTCCAACACAATCCACTATCACAAGAAAATGACAATTACACCCTTTTGATCTCAATGTCACTCAAAAATATACAAGCTTTGATCAAACCCTTGAGCTATTCCCAAACACTCGTTTCTCACCTCTTGATTTTCACACCCAAGAACACAGTTTTTATTAGAAAGATTACGGAGAAAAATTGAACAAGATTGATAATAATAGATCTCAATTACAAGATACTTATTTATACTAAATCAGTAACTTGACTGTAAAGACTAATCAAAATTAGGCATTTAACCAATTTATAATTAATAGTAATAAAGTCGATTATAACAAATAAATTTCAGTCTTATTTGTAACTAACTAACTAATAAAGAATATAGACTTACACGAGTCACATCTCCAACACAGGTGATTTGAATCGAACCATCATACCTGACTTTTCTTGCCTGAGCTACGTGCCATGTCATTAGGTTTAGTGTGTATGACCTGTCCTACCATAATAAAGTTTGTCACTAGTCTCTAGGCTCTCTTGTGTTTTGCAAAAAGGTCCTTACAAGTGGGACGTGGAACTCTTTAAATGGCTAAAGCAATTATGCGGGCTAAAGCAATTAATGCAAAATGCAACAGGAGAGAGATATATATTTATGAAGAGCTGATATGGATAAAGTAGGTAAAGTATGTTTAGTTTGTTAATTTAAATTTTTAATTTTAATTAAAATGTGATATTATATAAAAAATTTATTATAGTAAATAATTTAATGTGATTATTTATAAGAGTTTTTTACCGTAGTAAAATTTAAATTTTAAATTTAAATAGGTGAAATAAATGGAACCTAAATTTCACCGATTTTGAGTTTTAGATTCTAATTTTACTATAGTTAAAAATTCTAATAAAAAGTCACATTTAATTTTTTTGTTACAATTAAAAATTTGCACATAAAATTATATCTTAACTCGAATTAAAAATTTAAATTGACAAACTGAACAAGACTTAAAGTAATTGGATGTACCACATAAATATTTTTTAAAATTAGTTGGGTGTTGTATTGCATAAACATTTTTTAGTTGAGTGTGTTATATAAATACGATGACTTTAGTATACTTAAGTTTTATTTATTTTACCAATTTAAGTTTAAAATTCGAGTTTTATTATAGTAAAAAGTTATCATAAATAATCACATATATATATATATTTTTTGTTACAATAAAAGGTTCGCATATAAAGTCACATTTTAACTCAAATTAAAAACTCGAATTAACGAATTAAATAGGCCCTTAAAATACTAAGAACTTTTAATTGTAGAAACTTAAAACTAAAAACTCAAATCGGTGGAATGAACGAGGCATGAATAATCCCTCTTTGTAATCTAAAAAATTTATGTGTTATACATCTACAAGTATTCCGTAACAGGAAAACATCATTACTTTGCCAGTCTAGCTACTAAAAAAATAAGATCATCTGTTATAAAAATTCCAATACTAAAACTTTTTTTTATCTTTAATAAAGTGAAAATAACATATGTGATGTGCTATTTTATTTCGTAATCTAATATATAATATTATTTTAAATGTCATATTTATGGATAAATTATTTTAAGTGTTATATTTATGGAGGAAAGTTATTTCTTGATACATAGATACATTCATTTGAAGTTTTGTCTTTATTTATTTTAATTAATTTATTAAGTAACCATCCACTTCTGTGATTGTAACTTTATATTCATAAGGAATAGGCATATATATTACAGAATAAGATGATTCTTTTATACCTTCTATTTTCTTATTTAATTTTTAATTTTCTCATGTGCTAATGATGCAACCTGCGCATCTCCTTTTTATTTTTCTTCACCGGAGTCCATTTCTCCATTCTTTCACCCTCCCCTCTATTGACGATTATCCTTGGACGATTACCATTTCTGCACCTCATTGACATCTCTTAATTCATTGTATATGTGCTCTTGACGTCGCGCGGATATAAAGAATATTGTCAAATCACATTAAATCATTTAATTCTCTTCTCTCTCTTCTTTTTTATTTTTTTATTTTTTTTAACATTTCCATGCATTTAATTAATATTGTACGCCTTTTATTATCCGATCCATTGAGCACCAATTTTTAATGTTCTCGTTCACAACTTGAATAGAATTTTGAACAGGAAAAAAAAAAGGTTACCTTACTTTTCATACGTAAACAGTAATTGCACTTAGAACATTTTTCGTTGCCACGGCAAGAATCTCTCACGACCCATTTCTATCAAGAACATATCCAATATTCAGATACCCCTTATCTATGTTATTATATATAATCGACCCCACGGCTTAATGTTCTCATCTCCTACATAACCACACCCATACTTATCAGAAAAATAATAATAAATAAATAATTTTTTTTTTAAAAAAAAAAACCCCTTGCAACCATGGATGCGAGACTATGAACGAGTTTGAACCATTTCTTGTCGACACTCAATTCAGTCGGTACAAAAAGAAGCAAACATTGTACAGAAACACAAACAAAAACAAAAATTAAAGCACACTTCCAAGCAAAATAAAAATAAAAATAAAGCACAGTTGTATTTCCAAGCAAAAAATAAAAATAAAAATAAAAAAATAAAATAAAGCACACTTGTATTATGTAATTATAACGGAGGGTCATTTAGAACAGATCCTTATATCCGAGTCTGATTAGATACAGATTACCACGCAAACCACCTTAATATTTTTAAAGTAGCAATACTCAAAGTATAAGATCGTTAATTAAAATCACCAGATAATAAATACATAGCATAACATCCCCAAGATCAAGCAAAGCACAGAGCACATTATACTAATTTACATATCAGAAATCTCAATGGTCCTCGAGTGGGCCCTTTTGGGCTGCTCCGCCTTGGGAACCGTGACGGTGAGCACCCCGCCCTCCATGGCCGCCTTGAGCTGGTCGACCTTGGCGTTCGCCGGCAGTCGAAACCGCCGCGAGAAGCTGCCGCTGCTCTGCTCCATGCGGTAACACCCATCGCCGATCTCCTCCTTGCGGCGCCGCCTCTCGCCTCTTATGTGGAGGATTCCGCCGTCCTCCACCGTCACTTTCACCTCCTCCTTCTTAAGCCCCGGCACCTCGGCCCTGAACACGTGCGCCGTTGGTGTCTCCCTCCAGTCCACATCCGCGCGCGCGAACGACGCCGTCTCGGGCGGGAAGCACGGCCCGATTAGGAAAGCGGGCCTGGGCCAGCCGTCGAGTGGGTCCCAAGGCCCCAGCGGGAACGGGCCCGGCAGGTTGAAGTGGTTCGATCGCCGACCGAAGAAGTTTGGAATCATCGACATTTCTTCTTCTGTTGCTTCCTCTACTTCTTTAGTAGTGTTGGAGAGAATATCTATATATATATATATATATATATATATTCTTGGAAAGTAGATGCGAGGTTTTCGTCTTTGACTCTTTATGGTGGGGTGTGGGCGATAAATATTCTTTTTTTACGTTTCCACTTTGCAGATTCTTCCTCTTCGCACGCACACATGCGGAAGCATTTTATGGCGCGTATATCAAATAGTAAATATTTGATTCCACTAAAAACATGAAAAAAGAAAAAATCTTTCTAGAATGTTTCTTAAACATTCAAATCTTATCAAAATTACTTAAAAGAAAAAATATGTAGCTTTTCAAATAAAAAAATACGCATAATTGATATAATATGACGTAGATTTAATGGCTGAAAATATAATCCTACATGTGAAATATTTTTTGCCATATCCTATAGTAAATCTCGGTTTGAAGAATAATAAATAGAGAGAATCAAGGAGAAAAGGAATTATCAAAAGATTTTTTTTTTTTTTCATCTGATAAATATAAATGGAGATGTTTAGCTAAACAATTGTATAAGATGCCATGTAGTACCGAGCAAGAAAATTTGTGTACGTGAATAAGCTAAAATTTTGAACTAAAGTATAAATGTAAAATATCAGTGTCGTAACCTTAAAAAAAACAATGTCATTGTAATATTATTTTTGGTGTTTGACTCTCTTGTTTACCTTCTTTTTTATCCATCTCTATCATTGTCTTGTTTACTAACTCATATTCCAATTTTTGTATATCAACTAATATGACATGTGAATTGTCATTTTGGGTGTTTAAAATATTATCACGTCAATTAATAAAAAAAAATTATATCTACTAATAAAAAAATAATAACTCACGTGACACATTAATTAATATATAAAATTTAAATTGATGTCATTAACATTACTCATACTCTTAAGTAACTATGTTTAGAATTAACCCGTCACCGTGTTGATACTTGTTTCTGCACAAGGCCTTTCTTAAGGCTCAAGCCCATTGTTCCTTTCTGTAATCTGTATTGATGTCATTTTTGAACCCAAACCATGCTCGAAAGACATCTATGTGTGGTGGTTTTGTGTGCTATAATTTATGGGCAATTTTTAAAAATACCTTTTGAAAAGAAGTTTCTTTTTATTTCTACCCCTTAACATTAATCTATATATTTTTACATTTTAAATTAGAACTAGTTAAGGGATAAAGTTTAAAAAAAAAAATACTTTTAATAAGTCATGTACTTAATAAAGTAAAATCTGTAATTTTCTCATAAGGTAATTCCCCGTTTACTCTTGATCCAGAGTAGGTTTTTGATCTCATTTAGGCGATCTCAAATTTGACTAAGTGATGGAGAAATAGCATAGGATACCTGTCCTGTTACCTCAGGTAACCCAAAGTCAGCATCCATACTCAAAGGCTCGTACTTGTCTTTGTTGATTAAACAACCTCTCTCATGTGGCAACTTTGGAGGTGTAAAAAAGGAAAGGTAATCTTGATAAATATCCTTTAAGAATGCATGAATCAGAATTTTTATTTTTTACTCTTGATTCGTAACTTTTTTAATCAAATAATTATACTAACAAAATGATATTTATTAAAAATAAAGAATAAAAGTTCAGATTTATGCACTTTAAAAAATAAATTCTCCAATTGTTTTCAAAAAGGAAATATGTAGATAGGTTTCTCTCGCTTTGGGCCTAGCGAAGCCCTATTTCCTTACCTTAGGTTAGTGGGCTAAAATTCTCCTCTCTCATCTCATTTCTTTAACGTTGGTGCATGATGATTCTGAAAGTTAAATGTCATTAAATTCGGATCAAAATAATAAAAAAAAAGTACGTTAAAGCTAACTATATTTAACTTTTACTGCAAAAAAAAAATAAATTGCTCTTCTCGTTCTTTATTCATGAATAAGAGAAGAAGAAAACATTGCTCTTCCTTTATTCATGATTCATCACAAGCAAACTTGTAAGTTGTAAATCAAATCCTGGAACAGTGGAACTCTGTCAATTTCTTTTGAATTAATTTCAAAAATTCTCCCTGAATTATAACCATTGTAACACTTTATCTCCTAAATTTTAAAACGTAACATCCGTTCTCTCTAAATTTTATTTCATTAACAAGTTTTCCTCTTATGTTACAATGAGTGACGTAATTACCACGTGTCACTTATTTAGTGATAATTAAAAACGTAATTACGTTTATATCCTCATAATTAGATAATTTCCCATTTTATTGAAAAAATTCATCATCTTCGTTCCCCATTTTCCTTCTTTTTTTTTTCTCCTCTGTTCCCCAAGTTTTCCTCACTCCCTCTCCTTCACTTTCACATCTCTCTCTCTCTTCCCTCAAACCTTGAACCATTTTCCCGAGCAAAAAACACATAGAAATAAAATGAATAAGGACGCCATTGCAGACACAAGGAGACCTTGTTTCAGTGAAGAAGACGACGGTCTGGCCTCCCTGGCCGACATGGAGGCTGGATTCTCCGGTAGCCATCACCACGACCAGAGCCACGCGCTTTACTCTCGGCCTCTATATTACTCACGGCGGAGCAGCTTCAGGAGCCTTCCGATGACGTTGTTTTCTTCCTTCTCTTCTTCTACGTCGTTGTTTTCGTCCAGATCTGGCAGCGCGAGGTTCTATGACGCCTGGTTTGAAGAGCACCAGCCCCATTTCCTTGTGGCTTGCTTCCTCTGCAAGAAGTCTCTCGCTGATAACAAGGATATTTTCATGTACAGGTTGGTTTTCTCTCCAAGTTTTGTTCTTTTCATGTTTGATTTTGAATTTTTAGGGAGAAAGGAGTTAGAGAGAGGCATAGAGATGCTTAGTGGTGATGGAGAAGGCCATGAACGCTATTTGCAAGCTCTGTATCTGGGTTTGATTGTGAGCAGTTTGTAGTGTAAGTTAATTTACGATAATATCCTCTTCAGATGGGTCATGTGCCTGACACGTGGCGAATTTCTTCACTCATTGTAACATAATGAGAAAACTTATTAACGGAACAAAGTTCATGAGGAAAAGATGTTACATTTTAAAATTATGAAGAAAAAGTGTTATAAGGGTCATAATTCGGAGAAAATTTTTGAAATTAATCAATTTCTTTTCACTACTGTTGAATCTTCATAAGCTTATAGTTCCATCTTTTTTTTTAATTTAATTTAAAGCGTCAATAGTTTGGATCGTGTACGTATATTATATATATATATATATTTGCTTAAATTTGTAATTCCAAGCTGTTTTGTTGAGTAGACTGTCGTTTACCCATTGTTAAAAGAAGTATATACACGGATCCAATGACAATATAACCAATTGGGAAAAGAAATTTTCAATTTTCTTGGTGTTAAAACCGCGGATAAAAAAACTTGACCCCTGTTATTATTATTTGTAAAATTGGGACCATGTTACATACATTGTGGTAAAACGCAACATAACAAAAGCTATGATACTATTTTTGAAAAGCTCAATCTGCTACCAGAACTAACGTGTGTAAGATAAACTAAATAATGCAAATATCATGTATTTTAATTTGGCGCTATTTATATATGTACAAGATTAATTAGAGTGACCAAGAAAAACGCAACTAGTTTAAAATTCTTCTTCTTCGTGTTCGTCGTCGTCATCATCAGTACTAGTACTAATGATGTTTTCATGGTCATCCAAATCAACGGCGGCTACTTTAGAAGCGCTAATCCTGAGAGAAGCCGACCGAATTTTGAAGGGCAATCGGGCATTAGTAGTAGTACTGGTCACTAAACCACCACAAGTTTCTTGATCCTCTTTCTTAAGATCGGCAGGAGGCAAAAAACAGTCCATGGAAAGACCCTTTATGTTGAAGTCCACTTCTTCTATCGCCCAAACTTCTTCCATTCCCGTCCTCGAATGGCTTTGCGAGTTCTCGCCGAACCGGAAGAGCGACACCGACGTCCTGCCGGCGTGGGCGATGTTGACGCCGTCGACGGTTCGGTAGTCTTCGATCAGGGACTCCATTGTCGTTTCCCAGAAAATGCTGTCGTTGTTCTCGGAGGAGGCAGCTTTGATCCTGAGGAGGTGAGAATCCTCTAGTTGTACCAAGAGGCCTGTTCTTTGGCTGAAGTAACCCCAAACGGTGTGTCGTATTATCTCCACGTTATTGCTGCTTCTTGCCCTTAGGATTGATGAATCGGCTTCTAGTTTTAGGATGAAGCAATCCTCATCGTTTATCGCCTTTTCGCCGACACAAACGGAATTTGAGAACAAATTTGCAGTGGACCTTGGATCAAGACCCTGTTTAAGTATAAAATTTACAAAAACGTGAGTAATATATATATATATATATATATATATATATAACATTGGTCATAGATTTTTCTTTTTTTTTTTCGTAGTGTATTGTGAGCAGTAGTGCCGAGGACCACATACGCTTATTTACTTATTTATGTAAAGGTTTTGATATAGGTTTAATTTGCAACAGCATTTCTTAAGCATATAACCGGGTTATGATTAGGTGGTTTGTTTCGGTTGAATTGGGCCTCAATGCCAGGCTGACACAGCACGTAGGCTTAATATATTACTTTATTCACAAGGGAATGAATTCATATTGCTAAATTGATTTGGACTATCTTCTTATGGACAATCAACAACTTAATGGTTTGTGTATATCTAGAAGCAAAATACGTTTTGGTCTTTTGTTTCCAGTTGGAAAATGAAACATTCTTGACTTGATCTTTGCTTATTATTTCTTTCTCAGTTGTATATTCTCATTGAGAATGTTGACTTTTTTATATATTTTAAAAACAAGCCATGTCTAGTGTTAAGTTGTAGGAGGAATAGACGGAAATTGGTTTGAAGAAAGCACGATTGAGGAGAGAGCTAAAATTTCATAAATGGCGGTCTGGGACCCATGGTATAGTGGGCCATGGTTATAACACCTCTTTTTTTTTTTTTTTTTTTTTTTTTTTCCTGGTTAAACAAGTTGGTTAATCGAGATGAACGTGGGTTTCAGGACCTCATATTGTCCTAGAAAAAGTCTAACAGAACACCCAATCGATCCGCTTCATCAACTTTAGTGGTTGTGTGCAGCTAGATTATCAGGCAAAAGACAAAGCCCATGGAAATCAGCAAGAAAAGTCCCCTCTAACACTACACCTGTCCACTCTACTTTATGTAAAGACTTCAATCACGCCCTACTAAATTTTGAATAATCTCCATTATTTAAGTCTATTGTAACTATTGTAATTTTGAATCATGTCAAATAGTAAGAAAAGGCGTGGACAAACCTGTAAGAAACGCCTTAGAGGGCGAGGTGGGCCACGAGAGGCGTGGGAGTGGTGCCAAGGGGTTTGCCTCCAAGCCACTTTACCATCACTCCCCGCGCTAATTTTGCACCCTGACACCACCAACTCTAAGCACCACAACTCGGGCCCCTTCTGCCACAACACGAACCCTCCCATCTCCCCTTGTGATCTCAAGCTCTTCATCTTCATCCCCTTGTTGCTATTCAGACTTTTTTCTCTCGAACAAAAGTCCGAAGCCGCCATCTTCACCTTCCCCATCGCGTACATGCTCTCTATCGAATTCAGCGCCTTTTCTCCCCCAATTGCCGCTATGTACTGCTTCACTATGTATTTAGCCATTGAAGCCTCCTGTATGTCACAAAGCAATTATGTGTCACTTAGAAAAATAATATTAAAAAAAATAATGCAGCAAAACTTTTCGAGATTCATGACGACTTCCTAACAAAAAATGAAAAAAGAAACTAATGCCTTCCTTATTATTAATTAGTGGCAACACATGAAAACTTACAATGGGATGGTCTTTAATGTTGCGAGTGATGATTTGGTGGTCGCAAGCGATTGGAAGAGGAATAAGCGGAGCTCCGACGACACCGAGCAAGAGTTGGATCTCAGCGTGGCGGCCGCCAAAGACGGCGGCCATGTTGGAAGGATGCTGCGAGCGGTCGGACGACCTCATCCAGGCCTTCATATTTTGCCACGAAATGACGGCGCTCTTGTTAGAGGAAGCGAACATCTCCTCCGGGATCGGGACCTCGAGGACGGTTTCGAGCGCATCTTCCCGGTCGAAATTTGGACAAAGCTTCCTCATTAGAAGTAGAAACTAATTAGACACAAGAAAGAAGAGCCTTATAATTTTGCGAGATGATATTGAAGAAGAAATGAGTGTTTTTTTTTTTTTTTTTTGCTTGGAGAGCTGTAATGGTGGGGAGGAATATTAGGGGCCAGTACAACTAGTCTTGGATTGAAAGGTATGGAGATTGGAGAACATTACCAACCGACTAATTAGCCCTTTCTCTAACGTGGTTCACTTTGTCTATGTCGTGTTTGCACGCCCTCTTGTTTATCTCTCTCTCTCTTTCTCTCTCTCTCTCTCTCTCTCTCTCTCTCTATGTGTGGAAAACTTGGTTAGGCAAACACTTTGTTTTATATATTGGGATGGTGAGTAAGACGTACCCCAAGTGAATCTCATTCGATTCGGCTTATATGGTTTTTTTTTTTTTTAATTTTAAAAAGGGATTGATTAATTTAATTAAGAAGCAAGGGGATGATTAGTACTTCTTGTCTTAGCGGGGACTTTTATTTTTGCAGCTAATAGAATCAATTATGGGGTCATTGACTAAAGCTAAGCATATGAAAAAAGTGTTCGCAACGCAACAAATGAAGGCTGACTATTAATCAATTTGGTGAAGAAGAACAGATTGTGATTCTTAGTTCTTGTTCAATTTTTATTGCTCCAAGTACAAAGGATATTGAAAAGATAATGATTTATAATTTTTTGGATTGGAGCTTAGTCTAGCGGTTAATTTAACAAGTAACTTCCAATCTTAAGGTTTAAATTCAATATATATATATATATATATAAATGGATGAGTTTTCAATGGTTACATATATAATTAAATAGTTGATCAAAAAAGTTTATTATAATTAATGAAATTAGATTCTTACCACGTCACGTCATTAAATTTCTATATTTGGACGTTATCATCAATGAATGAAAACGTAACCATTGAAAACTCTTCCACACATATATGCTATGTTCTAAATTTTTATTCTAAATAAATTATTTATGTTTTTCACATTTTATTTATTTTAAATAGTAAAGAGTTAGATGTAAATAGAATGTATTCCAATGTTAGAATCTATTATGCCTTTAGAGGAATAATGTCTCCTTATTTTTTAGGCATTGGAATTTTTCTGAGTAAACATGATGTGTTGATGTTAATTTGGAAGATTTTGTTCATGTAAATGAACATATTAATGTTTTTCATTTTATTTTTATTAATCACGGGTTCGTAACATTACATTTCGCCTCAAAGTGAAATTTTGTTTTGTACTCCAGAGTAGGAAGCATGTCAATTTTATTGTAGTTGAGTTCACTTCCTTTGCTTTTCTCTCCATAACAGCTATATAATAGTCATCAATTAATCATAACACAAATGCCAAGTTGAACGAACCCAAGTCTAGGCAGCAAGTCACGAAATCACAACCACCCCCAAGATAAGTTTCACCAAACAAATCCCCTTCATTATACGCCAAAAGTAAAAGGGCGCAGAAAAAGCAAAAGCAAAAGAAATCTTACAATTAGTACAGAGGCAGTTTATGTCCCAAGCTATGGCACTTTGCTGTATTTGACGGCAGCATATCTAACGGAAAATACATTTCACAATTACAAACTTTTAACGGATGAGAACCGTATGATTGATTGCCTTTTGATTTTTATACAAAATGTCGGCGATACAATTCTCCGGCTGCCGGAGCATGCGGCCGACACCTTTAATTGAGGTTTGAGGTTTTACTCATCTTGTTTAATTAGGAAGGAACATACACAATCTAATTTTGTCTAGCTACATTAGCTCTATGTTCTCCATCGTTTATGTTTCTAATTGATTAAACTAATCCTCTTTGTTTGGGGAATATAAACCAGTTTTGTGCCCATATTAGATTAATGCTAATTTGTCTAATACTTTAATTTAGCGTCCAGTCGGTTCTGACACGTATTGCCAAAGAGTTCCAATGATCATGTCATGCACGTTCTTAAGAAATATAAAATAATGTAACGTTTTGTACTAACCTTAATTGTATATCCAAAACAAAGTTGACGAGGTAATAATAATCTTTGCCACAGACATTCCAAAAGATAAGAAAGCGGATCTTTGTTAAAGATTTGGATTGCTATTTTTTGCACTATTATTATTTTTCTAATCTAATGTTTTCACAGTTAAAAGGTAAAGGTATCCAATGTCACATATGGTTGTTGTTGCTGTTGTACATTATTAATATATATATATCATTTTTTGCCCTCCTCAACCACAACAATATTTTTGGCCAAAACGGAAACTAATGAAGTTTAGAACGGAAACATTGAACTTAAACACATTTTACATATACTTTATTGACAAATTCTAGTATGATGTATCAGAAGTGCCTTTTTCAATAAAATTATTTCTATTCACATTATTATCAGAAATCTAATACCATTCGTTGCATATTTATTTCCCTTTCGCATTTGATTAAAGCAAAGATTTCAAAAAGTCTACAGCAGATAATACTGGGAGTTGAAAACTAAACAAATTAAACTTGAAAAAAGCAATAAAATTAGATTAAAAAAAATGACTACCAGGTAATATGAGTGTGACATGTTTTGGAAATTCAATTGTTGTGACAAAAAGTTCTCAGTAGACTTTAAAATAATCAAAGGAACTAGATATATGTACTTTTCCCCCTCATAATTCAGTAATATTTTGAAAATTCCTTTTGGATTTAGTAGCTACATGTCACACGTTCACATGACTCACCATCTACATATAAACCCAAAGCCCGCAAATAAAATTGTTTCAGCTGTATATATGGGCAAACATGGCCACGACTCATGAAACATTGTGATGCCAGAAATCACCATGTCAAATTTGGCTCAATTAACCGTAAAATACTCAATTTTCAAAACAAAACAAAAAAACACTCAATAATCAACTATTGGCTTTATTCCAAAAAAAAAAAGAAATAAAGAAAGAAAGAGAGAAAGAAAAAGAAAAAGAAAAAGAAAAAGAAAAACTATTGGTTTAGGATTCCATTAATGAGCATGTAGGGCGCGCCACCATTCGTGCAGGGTACATTAATAATTCCAAAAACTCACTCTTCAATCCAAATAAAGTACCTCTAATCAGGATACTGATCAGTGTGTGTATATATGAATATATGTATTTTATACAAATATAAATAAATAAATAAATATATATATATATATATAAATATAATGGGACTGGGGCCAGGGAAAAATACATGAGTGATCCCCCACCCACTTAGCAGGAAACAGAAACAAATGCAATTATAGTTTTGTTTGAGAAATTATTTGATTAGTAACTAACATAAGTCACATAACCTATAAAAACATTAACATTTTAGATATAGAGTAAATTGCTCTATTGAAGTTTTTTTTTTTTTTTTTTTTTTTTTTTGTATAATACACCTCAAACTTTAAATTTTGGTAAATTGCGCCTTAAATTTTTAAATCAGTGACAGTGTGAAGTTCAATAGCTGATGGGAATCATCAATTAACAAATTTAGACATGATATTTGCACATGACCTGATTTGGAAACTTTATGAATTTTATCTTATATGTACAAATCTCATGTCTCAAACTATCAATTGAATAACGTTCGTTAGTTATTGGAGCTCAATTGCTGGTAAATTTTAAAATTTATTTTGCAATCTACTAAAATTTGAATGTTTCGAGTGTAGTATGAAAAAAAGAAAAATTTAAGGTGTAACATTGCAATTTACTTTTCACTTTTGGATATAAAAGGAAAAAAGAAGAGAAATTAGTGAGTTCCCACCACGAGGTATGTTTGTGGCGTATTAAGAACGTGATCGGCAATCACGGCATGTTAGTCGCAGAAACTCATGAATTTACTCATTCTGACCCATCCCCAACCATATCTAATACGATTCATATCTAATGTGATTCCATTTCAGCAAACTCCTGCGATACTTTGTCTTGTCTTTATTACTATCACCGATTCTCTCTTATTTTTGGACCATGCCTGGTACCCATGTGCCTGGTGATGGCTACTTTTTTGCCTTTCACAATCAGCGTATCATGGTGGGTTGGCTCGCAGTATAACAATGTCTGAATTATTGCACTCCCTTTATAGGTTTCTCTGTTTTTTTTTTTTTTTTTTTTTTTTTTTTTTTTTTTTTTTTTTTTTAGCATGGAAGCTTAAAGGAGAACTGTTAAGGAAAAAGAAAATAATAAAGTTTTTCCTTTAGTCCCTTTTTTCACAAATAAAAGTGTGCCCAGGGACAATTGGGGTAATATATTTGGGCGTGATTATAGATATTTTTATTTAGTTATAATTATTCGTGTCGGAAGACGAAGTATGTCAACTCGGCTCTTATAAAGACTAATTAATTAATATTGAGTTGATAGTTTGGAAATAGTCTCATACATATCTCACGAGACTTGAAAGTTCAAACTAATACCTCCTCTTTTAGTGCAAAAACTGAATTAATGGTGAGAGTAAAATACTTCAGTTAGAATTAATACGAATTGAACTGCCATGGGAACGAGAGAAACGAATTTGGAGTCACTATTTTAACTCAAGTATTTATTTGGCTATCTAGAGTTGGAATGGCAACGTTTATGGCCAATCAAAGAGCTACGATCTAGTTGGAATACATTATAAAGATTCATTTAGGCTCTCTAGTATCTTGACGAAGGCAAATTTATTCATCATTAATGGCATTTTATATCATCATAGATGTCTGGTCATTATTGTCACATTATTGTATGGAACTCATTTTGGAATTTGGCATTGTCAAATTTTCGGAAATTATTACCATTAGGTGAATAGTGACCCTTTTTTCCCTTGTACTTCAGAATCCTCAAAGTACACAAATTCTTTGAACACTCTTTGCATTCTGAACTTGCATTTGAAAGGTCCGTTCCTCCCAAACCATCTAGACATATCAAATAATCTCGTATGAATTTTTTGCGGTTAAATCAGGGTCCTTATAAGATCTTCTAGCGCATATTTCTAACCGTTAGATTCGATTAAAATCACATTAAGATAAAAAAAAAATATGCAAAATAAACACTTTGATATAGTTCTAATAACTGAAAATAAAAATTTGCCAGTAAGACTTAGGTTCCGTTTGATAGTGATTTTCAGAGCCCAAAAGTGATTCCACATCCATCCACAGCTACTTTTAACATTTGGTAGAAAGTGCAAAAACCAATTTTAAGAGAATTTCAGATAAATCAGCAACTAGAAGTGGAAGCGGCAATTTTGATGCTTCTGCTTTTAGATTCCCGGTTAATCACTTGATAACATTAATGATAATTTTATAATACCATAAATACCCCTAAAAACTTTAGAAAATGACCAACTATGTCCTTATTTACCCTCACAGACTATAATCTTACTTTATTCCCCTCCACCCAAAACTCTCATCTCTGTTTTTTTTTCCTTCGTACTTTGCTATGACACATTGAACTTCTTAGCTACACCATTAGATAATTGAACATGAAATTTACATTTTTTGTTGTATATGTTGATTACTCACTAATTCTCATTTTTATTGTAACTATATTGTGAATAAAGAAATAAAAAAAGAATTAATTATCATAAATTTATTGTTTGAAAACTCAAAATCATGATATTATGTTTTTTTTAAAGTTAAATAAGTATTACTAAATATAAAAAATAATTATATATATTTAAGTTTCATACCATGTCTATTTTGATCATTTTAATTACTCACAACAATTCAGCCTCACAATTTATGAAACGCCATTACACTGATTTTAAAAATAACACATCTAGTATAATTATAATTTACCAAACACTCAATTACTTTTTGTAAGAGCTGTTTTTTCCTTCAACACAGCTAAAATAATTTTTTTAAAATGTACATTACTACCAAACTAAGTCTTAATTTCTCATCGTTGGATCTAAGTCAAAATCATATCAAATTAAAAAAGTATGTAGAATAGATAGTTTTTAATAGAAATCTAATAGCTGAAAATAAAAAACTATCAATAGTTAATAGGCCCGCTCAAAATAAATAAATATATATATATATATTTATACACACACATTTGGTGCCAAGAAAGTAGATCCATTAATGTGGCTATGGAAACGACAATGAAATAAGTAGAAGTTTTCCGATTAGAAGCATTTGGCAATTGATTAGATTCAAAACAAACAGGCACGCTTCAAAAATAATACAAAGTTACAACCATACACAAGACTATTTTGGCTTGTGAAGAAGAAATTAAGGACATTTATATTACACAAATAGTCACCTGAAAACTATGACAATCATAAATATATAATATAAACAACGTGCGGATCATAGAGAGAAATAACTGACTAGCAATCTAGCAATAACAATAGTAAGAAGAAAGGGGTACAAAGACAGTACCTCAAAAAGAAAAAAGCTCGTTTCTCTACTATTCAACTCAATTGACACGCAAGAAAAGAATTATTTCCTCATTCAGGGCTTCATGAGGGTACATTAAAGTGGAAGAGCCAAGAGATTACAAAGGCAAAGACCATACAGGCAAGCAAGAAGTTCAGGAACCGGTGACCCTGCCAGAAGTTCCTGGTCTCCGCTGGGTGAACGGGAGCGGTCGCGGGCGTTGTTGCCCCGTTATCATTTGATTCATTCCACTGCTCCATCACCTCAGCTTCATTAACACCAGAAACATTATGTGCGGTTGACCCACAGATTTCACAGGTCCTGCATGTCATGTATTTTCGAAACATCAGTAAACGTATAACAATGTAAACTACATCAGTCCACAGAAGAGCTAACTGAATGCTCTTTTAGATCTGGTTAATTCAATCGTATGGACATGGTTAATTCAATCAGAAGAAAATTTACAAGGAGATCATAGTAGAATTCATCAAAATACTCGAATAACAACTCAGAAATTTTGTCTGTCCATAGTTGCAATTATTACATGTTTCATTTCTATGTCAAACACATGATACACTCAACAAAGAGACATATATAGATCTTAAAGTTCTTTGTCCAAACACAAATGCATCAGTTGAACGAAATTATGTTAAACAATTTTGGTCATTCTCACTCTAGGTGATCTCGGGATATCGGAAAAAGTATGGACAGGTTGAAACAACCTATTAGATAAGAACTCAGAACCTTGATTTATCAGGTATGTAAATGTTAGTTTTTTTTTATCCCCTCGTTCAAATTGTCATTTCCTTCCATTATATGGATGTCTTAAGACTTTCTTTCCACTAACAGCTTATACAGACGCTGAATAGAGTATATATGAATTTGCCGAGATGAATCAATCAAATATATTGAATTCCTAAAAAAAAAAACGAAACAAAAGAATGGTAGCTTTTACAGGTAAGTGATACAGTAGATACTGTGCATTGACAAATATGTTTGAAAGATCAACTACTTAATATCTGTCTACCAACGTAGATATGACCTGTATGTTTGGATGCATCTCCTTTTAGCTTACCTAAATGATGACGTTTTATTGCCCTGGAAGAGATTTTTTTTTTTCATAATAATGTAGAGTTTAGAATTGTGGTAATGCAAAACAGTGAACTATAAGGTACCATCTTTTCATCTTAAACTTTATGTTTTCCTCTCAAGACCTTTCTGTCCAAATCTTTAAAAGAAAAGAAAATGACAGAGATTGGACAGCAGCAACAAATTGACTCCTGAACTGATCTTACCACAATTTTATTTTTCACAAAAATTTAGCAAACAAACAGATAATTTTGTGTGACTCTCTCTTTCTCCCCTGCTTAAGTTGGAATTCACATGCCCACATTACTTTACCTACTCATACTTATTCTACATATTTAAGTATTACACGTGGATCCAAATTTCCAACCCCAAGTCCAAAAACTCACTGTCCATTGCTTTCTTCTCAAAATTAATGTCTTCACTTAAAAGTAGACAGACTTTGCAAAAAATAAATGTTAAACGAAAGAAAAACAGATACGTATAAAGAGAAATATATTTGATCTAGAAAAGACGAGAGAACTTTGTCCTAGTTATATCTAAGACAAAAAACATGAAGGGGTAATGCCCTCAATAACAATTTTACCGCGTACAAATCATCAAAGCTGCGATTTAAATCATTTAATTTAAAATATCAACTTCAAAACATCATTGTTAAACACCCTGTCATCTTTTTTATTATACAATTTCTGTTAAAACTCTTAAAAATATTTTCGAAGAATTGTGACATTAATAACGTTAATTACCACTGAAGAAGATAGAAGAAACACGCACAGCAAGTTGAAGATGAGGTGGTAAAAAAAAAAAACAAAACAAAACAAATGAAAAGAAAAGAAAGAAAGTTTTAGATGAGATTGCTCATGTGCTATCAAAACCTATTAGAGACAAGCAAAGTTATATCAAGAAAGGCCATCTTGTGTATAGAGAAACCAATTCATAATAAGCCTTGGCATTGTGAACCCTTCAACCACACACAACATTTAGCGGACGCAAAGATCTAACCTTGTGAACGCCTAAAGAGAAAGGAACCTGATTTGTGTGGTTTTACAGGAAATGAGCATACAAAAGAACAATGATCTGGAATTCCTCCGACCAACGTATAGTTTTTGGAAGGTAAAGTTAGATAGTCCTGAATTTTATGAAGTTTTTCATGAGGGCGTCTCCACTATCAAAACACAAACCATGGACCTTAGAGGAAATACATGCGTACAAGTCCAAAACTTAGAGCTTTCAAGAAAAGTTGGTCTTCATTGTCTAGAGTAAACAAAAACAACTACGAAATGAGCAGAGTCTGGGAATCTGAAGACAGTTGAAGATTTGGTCATCTAAAGGCAGAATTTTCAGTAGAACCTATATTATAGCATGAGGAGAATACAGGGAAAATAGCATGTGTCGTTAAGAAACTTGAGGCCTCTGACCATGAAAACACCTTCAGATGCTTTAACCATTAACTGAACAATTGTGTCAGCATAGTCATAGAGTAATGATCATGTCATTGGACTTGGAAAAACTAAGCCAAACCGCCAAAAAAGATAGAACTTGGGACTTTTTTTATTTTTTTTTGCTGGATAAGAAAAAAAAAGAAAAATACAAAGCAAAAGCTGAGACTTGCCACTACTAAGTTCCCACCATAGACCCAGGTCATTCATTAAGTATAGCCTTTTGCCTTTTGGTACGGTACCACTAACTGAACAACCATATGACTTGGTCAATCCTTCTATTCATCTTGTTAAAGACACTGTCCTTATCATGGAACAATGATACATAGGAGAAAAATCCATCATTTAGTAATATACTTGGAATAAACAGATATCCGGAATATTATCAAACAGAAAACCAGAACCAAACTGCCTTTAGAGGACGTATTTTATAAGCAATGCATGCAAGATTGAGGACTATCACTTCAATAAAGTATACATCACAAAGAGTCAAAAAACAAGAACCAGCTTGTCCGAGAGATAAAAGTTTGAAATAAGTGTGAGAAAGATGCCATGAGTGGCTCATGGTTTTACACTTTATAAGCTGCAATGAATTAGGAAGAATCACTATAGCTGGAAATAGAAGAAGTACATGGTGGCACTTCAATCTTTTTTGCTTTATAAGAGTACGTAAGTTTTATTCTCTTTATTTAGTCTGGTCTACTTCTCTTTACTTTCCAAAGTAATAGAGATTTTATTCTAATTTAAGCCCCCCCCATCATAATGTTCCTTTGCAATAAGCATCCCACTTCTCCTATTCTTCTCCCTAAATAATATTCCTTTTAACTTTGTTCTCGCAACTAAACTTAAATAAGTCAATAACGCTCCCAAGAATATATTATAAACTAAATCTTAATATAAATAATCTGATTTAGCATCTAACAATGAACGAATCAAAAAATCATTCAAAATTTCTAACCACCAACTTTTCAGGAACTCACAGAATGGTTACTAAACATACCAAGACCACAAAAATGCTAAAGATCAAAACTTTGCTCTAATCACATCCCACAAAACACCAATTCTCAAAATATAACAAGAAATAACAAATGGACAGTGCCAAAAACACAATAAAATAAAAATAAAAATAAGAAACCAATCTTTGTTATAATTACGAATATTTTTCCATCTGAGGACTTACTTGTTACCCTTGATCTTGAACCAAGCCTCAGCACACTGTTTGTGGGCAGCAGCCAAATCATCCTTGCAAGAGCAACCCAACTCTATGGGAATCCCAGACTCATGATTGGCTGCATCCAAGCTCAGATGGCAAATCCTGCAATCCCTCTCAACTTTCGCTAAATGTACTTTCACCTCAGCCAGATCCACCTCCACCGAACGCTCCGACACAGGGGATCCCTTCTCCACAATCTCAGCTCCGGAGGAGCACCTACGCTCCTCCTCCTCCTCGTCCGACGACCGTTCGCCGCCGCCGCCGGCGACGGAGCTCCGGCGGCCCTCTTGAACATCATCACGGTGGTCGTTAACAACAAGGATGATATGGGGTTTGTTGTCTGTGCTGGCTGCCATTGGTGGAACCCAGAGAGAGAAAAATCCTCATGTAATGGTGGTGGCTCTGGTGAGGCTGAGATCATGAATGCCCACAACAAGCTTCACCAAGAAGAAGAAGAAGAAGAAGGAAGCTCTCTTCAAAGAGTTTCTCTCTCTTCTTTTTTTGAACCTTCGTAAGCTTTGGACAAATAACGTGATCTTTTTTTGTTCTTATACTCTTGCGAAGCCGAACTGTAGTGGTGAGGTAGGTGATTTCTCTCTCTCTCTCTCTCTCCCTCCCTCTCTCTCTCTCCCCCTCTCTCTCTCTAGCAACTGGGGAGGAGAGACTAGTGTCTGTGTCTGGACAGCAACTGGGGAGGAGAGAGAAAGATCATGGAAAAGAAAGATCTGATAATAATAATAGGAAAATACTGTATGTTGCAGAGTGTAAGAAGAGAAGTATAAAGCTTGTATTTTTCTTTTTGGGCTCCATAAAGTTAGTTTATGCCATTATCTTTTCTGTTTATTATATGTGAGACTTATCATTATGTATGTTTCTCTCTCTTTCTTTTTCTTAATTGGAATTTTCTCTCTTTAACAAATTTTACCACTAGGAAAAGAGCAAGAAAAACAATACCCTTGAGAAAAGGTACATAACTAGACCAAAAAAAAAAAAAAGAGGTATGTAATTAAGATTCTATTTATTTTATCGATTTAAATTTAAAATTTGAGTTTATTATAGTAAAAAATTCTTAAAAGCAGTTATATCTAACTTTTTATTATAGTAAAAAGTACTTACATAAAATCACATCTCAATTCAAATTAAAAATTCAAATCAACGAACTAAACATGCCCTAATAGTCAATTTACCTATGAATTTCGGTTCTTTTTTGGTTCCTCAGTTATTAAATAATAAATAAAGCTCAGCTATTGACAAAAAAAATAAGTTTTTAGCTATTATTTGAGAAAATTTAACGGTTAATATCTTTCTTTTAATAAGTGGTGAAATAAGATGCACGGTATACCTTAAAGAATGAGATTTTAAAAGTGTTAAATATGTATTGAGAGTTTTTATGATACGTTAACATACTGACAAGATCAATGTTTTAATCGTTGACTCTTATTAAAATCACATCAAATTTAAAAAGTATACAAAATAAATAATTTTTAATACAGATCTTACAGTCAAAAAGCACGAAACTACTAATTCTACCCAGAGAAGCTCCCAAAACTGTAAAATCTGATGCAATTTATTATAATGGATTAGTTTACATGTTGTATTAGGTTCTGTTTATTTCACTTTTTTTTTTCTTTTCACCTTAACGCTATTGTGATTTTGATACGTTAAACATGAATTACTATAAGGTATACAAAGCTCCCTTAAAAAATACATCTTCTTCCTTCCATATCTTTTTCTCTACGGACATCTCAGATAGAAAAGCAGATTTGTTCTGTCTCCTTTACTGCTGCTTTACTTTTCCCATTACTACTGTTACTAATTTGCTTCAATGATTTGAGCAGCTCTTGATTTGTTTCAGTTGTGGAAGGTCAGATTTGTCCATGCCATTTAATCAAATACGTGGTAATTTTGAGGGCAGCTTTGACTTTTCAATTGCAAAGCAAGATATCAACATGTTTTAAAAGTATGCTCTCAATGTAAAGCAACTTGTGCTTATCAAGGTGAGTGGAAAAAACAAAAAGAAAAAGCGAGAAGTGTGCGTATAAACAGCTGTTTTCCATAATTGTACATTATTTTTTGAGGAAGTAAATTTGTTTTAACCCTCATCCTCCGAAGGGAAAATCCTAAATTTCACTTTTAGTCAAAATTAGACCACACGAAGACTGACTCTGAAACAGTCAGAACAACATGTTATTATATTGTACACAGATTCTTTTCTATGCTTTTATAAGTATATAATTTCTTCAGAAAAATAGAAACTATATTTTAGTCATTGAATTAATTATTCAACGATCCAATTCGTAATAAAAATAATTATGTATTACACGTTATAAATTTTTTACACGTGCACCGTTATAAAATTAACTTAACGGTTAAAAGTAACAATTCATATTAATAGAATAAAAATACATGTCTTGCCATAAAAATTCTCAGAAAAATACATGTGTACTAGATTTATCAAAAACATAAAAAAGAAGTTGATTTAGTTAATTAAAAAAATAAATTGGGGCCAGAGAGCAAACCAACCACAGGACAATGACACTTAATAATGTCACAAATGTTTTTCATTACAGTGTGTTGTAATTATTGTTTAGGTAGGTAAGGAGACCATTGCAGAAGAAGTTGAGTCCAAAGTAATGATCAAATTTATCATAAAGTATTGAGAAAATTTGATGTAAAACAAAAAAGATTTATGTTGACGGCCTATCCTAATAGTAAATCCACAACCATGCCTCTAGAAATCAAGAGCTCAATTCCTTATCCGTGTTAAAGAAAGAGCAAAAAAAAAAAAGTTAAGATAGATTTTTGAGGAGACACTAGTAGCCCTACTAGGGATATATACTAGGCTCCACTTGTCTTGTTTTGTCCTCGTATGATCACGTCTTGTTTGATCCACATATCATAGAACCTACTTTGTCTTTCCTCATTCTTAAAAGGGGTTTTACTTCTATGAGATTTTTGTGGTGGGGTTGCCCAAATGCGGCCCATATTTAGGAAAAATAAAATATTCTCTTAATCTTAACAAAACCACTATGTCCAACAAGAGATATGATTTTCGGAAATGCCATGAATTGGGCTATTTTCTGTTTTGTTTTATGTATTCTTGATATTTCCTCAATTCTACTTCTTTTTTGGCAGGTTCTGTTTGAGAATCTGTAGCCTATCTATCTATAACTAAATATGGCTAACAATAAGAGGTCATGACCATCTAAAACACTTGAAGAGATTTCAGCAGTCCCTTTTTACTTTTGAGAACTTTTGTCTTCTAAAAAGCTTTGGGCCATTTGACCAACTTGAAAAACAAGTATACAAGAAGTTTGATCAAGTAAAAGCATAGCCTCATATAGTAAAGCGGGCTGTGAATACGTTTCAGTCCTATGGTAGAACAAGTCTAAATATAGTTTCAGAGACACGCCTCAGATCTATGTAAATCGAATTCTCATTTGTAATATCAGCCGATACGTGACGACTCACTCACCAAATTATGTACCTTTCTCTTCAAATGAAATAGCTTGAGAAAAGGAAGAAAACCAGACATAAATAATCAGCCCAAGCCCTCAACTTCGGTTGGCATTGCAAAACTTCGTCTAGGCATCTGGGATGACAGAGCATCTGTCATCATTCCCATCAACTTGTTCTGTCCTTCTTCAAAGCGAAAATGATCATTCCTTTTGTTCTGTTCTAATATTCCAACTTGTGAGGTAGTCACAGCCCCTCGAGAGGTCTCGAGGATTGCTGCATCGTTTGGAGCTCTGGCACCAGTAGTCTCAAGGCCACTCTTTATCCATGCTATATTGTTCAAATCTGTCGCAATAGAGATTAATTCATGGCTTGAGAAAGAGGGTGACTCCTCATATTCGAGAAACTCGGGTCCCAGCAACGAGCTATGAGATTGTCTTATCCTTGAATTCACGCAGCATCCATGACCACATCGCAAAGGAACCATCGGCTCACTACAGAACTCTTCAAAGAGTTTGCAGGCTCCAAGTTCTGGTTTGGAACCTTGACACAAAGGTCCAGGAGTCAGGACTGTCCTTGAAAATACAGAAGAATTTGACAGGCCTCTTAAAGGATTATAGACGCTAAATGCGCTGATTCGTCCCACTGGCCGGGAAACAGTAGGGTGATGTTCTGCTAACGAAACAAGGTTATGATGATCTTCTTCAGCAATGCAACCCTCCACTTGAGCGCTGTTTTCATACTGGGATGATCTATTGTCCACTGAGATCTCTCTTCCTTCTGAATTTCTTAGTGAATTCATATTGCCAGCTGACAGTGTTTCTTCTGAAGATGCCTTTGTCATGTCAAGGCCACCATCAAGAGTCATGCCACCAGGAGCTGGTTTAAGCCCTCCTAGTTCAGCACACTTGCGTTTCAGAGTAGAGTTCCAGTGATTCTTAATTGCATTATCTGTTCTACCAGGCAGAAGTCTTGCAATTGCGGCCCATTTGTTTCCATGGATTGCATGGGCTGTAACTATAATACGATCTTCTTCATCTGCACAAATTCAAGATCCCGAAAATATCAGCAATACCAACTCTAAGTTTCTTTAGTCAAACCAATAACAAAACGCAAACAAAGGCCTCAAAAAAGAGATAGGAAGAAGGTATGCAGTTATTATTTCATGCATGGAAATATATGAGCAAGGGGATTGCATTGTTGAGAGAAAGTTGAAGCAGAAATGGACTAAACAAAAACAAAAAACAAAATCCACGAAACCAAAGAAGAGAGTAAATTTTACCCGTGTGAGATATTAGTTCATACATAGTACATGATTGAAAATTTTCATAACCAAGGAGAACATGATTGAAATGAGAGTTCAACTAAACATGAAAAAGAACGCATTTTTAATTGCAATCATGGTATATGGTATATGGAAAAAGCGTTAAAGATAAGACCAACAACACAATCTAAACACATCCCAATCACGACAATCTAAACATCTGGAGCACCTTTCCCATAATAGTAGTTGTTTCACTGATGCACCAATATACGAGTTTCAAATACATATGCCCCCTTTCATCCGTTTGCATGATATGTAGTCAATAAACTCATACAACTTGTTATCATTGGTTTTCAAAAATTAACCAACTTATGTTAACATGGTTCTAATTCAAGGTAACTGTTCTTTCTCCAGCAATACAAGATCAATCCTTTCAATAAGCTAAGCAAATAAGGCAAGGCTCATACAAGGGACGATTGGAAGAGTTACACTAACAAAAACAAGACCAAAAAATGTGAGTTTGAGGATGTGAGAGGCACACAACTAAACATTAGCAGCCAAAGAGGAAATAAAATGTGTCTGCATACAAGGAAAAACTTCCTTGGAGCATATCAAATACAAAACGGTTAAAAGAAAAGGGACAAGACAGGGCGTGGCAAGGACTCTAGAAGAGCTTCCATTCTGTCAAGGTCACTACAGCATAAACTTCTCTCAGCGCCATCTTCCTCGTTTTTTCTAAGATCGATTTCATGATTACTAACAAGATAGGTTTTACGGTAAAGATCAATTATTCACGTGGATTTCTTCATGTTTCACTTTCCGATAAACAAAAAGCACTTATATAAATCTCACGCCAACTAATGTCTTCCAACCGGAAAATCAATCCTACCCCACTTCTTATACAAGTCCAAATCCATAATTTAAAACAAAAGGGCAATGCTTAAAGCTCAAACAAACAACTAAATCAGCAAGAAAGCAACAAGATATAGAGTACATAATATTCCCTCTTTTAGCATCATTCAAAGCTATCATAAACAAGATGTCATTCAGATATTGCCAAGCATCCCCGCTGCATATTTTGATAGTCACAATTCGCAAAACAGTCAAAATCTGACAAGCCCAGCTAAACCCATATTCTAAAACCTCCTTAAAACGACAAAAACCCACAAAAAACACACACACACACAAAAAGGAAAGAAGGTGCTACTATGCGGTTACAGAAAAGGGCAATGGCGGTTACCGGAGAAGGGCTTGCGCTTAACGCCGGGATCGAGCTGATTGCACCACCGGAGGCGGCAAGACTTACCGGACCTCCCCGGAATCCCCCGCGCGATCAGGCTCCAATTCCTCGCCCCAAACTTCCCCACCAGCCGACTCAGCACCGCGTCCTCCTCCGGTGACCACGGCCCCTTCACCTTCCCTACTCCGACGCCACGGCCGCCGCCGCTTCCTTCTCCGCCGCTGAGTTCCAACTCGCCGGCGCGGTCGCCGTCGGCGGAAACGGCATCGTTTGGGACTGTCATGGTCGGTTATTGGTTGCTCGTTCGTTCGTGCTTTTTGGGTTTTTCCTTTTCTTATTCTTGACAGTGATATTTATCGTTACCTACCTTCCTAACTACAAATGGAGGGGCATTTTGGGAAAATTGGTTTTTATGTTTGAGAAGTTCTGTGGAAATCTGTTGCTATAAAATGACCGATGTGTCCCTTTCGTGGTGCTGTGTTGGAGGCGTTTGAAGCAACTATACGACGGCGTTTTTGTCTTGTTTCTGGTTGTCCCCATTTGGTAGAGGAATATATGTTGTAGACTTTTGTTTGACTTGAGTTTAAGACTTTTAAATGGACAGTTAATTCCTTAATTTTTTTTTCTCATCAGTTAATTCCTTAATTAGGGAGTTTCCGTGGGTGACTCTTTTGCAAATCCAATAATTAAAAGTGTACCCACCCCGCGGAGAAAATGATTAATTAGAAAAAGTTTCTCTCAACTGCAGTCTTTATTTACAACATGCCATTGATTATAAAAGTGTATTATTTATCTCGTTCTTCTTGATTGATTTATGAAAAATTAATGCATACCTCCTTTTTATTATAATATTTAACAAAAATTGAGACATATTTCACGGTGGTAAATACAAATGCTTATTCCTACTCTCTTACAAATGCAAGCTCTATTTCTTGCAACTTGTCACCTTAATTTACTCAAACAAACTAACTAAATATAAAATCGTTCTTTTACACTTTATTTACAAACTTGCCACTCTCATTTTTGTTGAGAAACCAAACCCATATATCCTATAAAAAAAAAAAAAAAAATAATAATAATAATAATAAGAAACCCACGGCGTGATTTTTTCTAGAGTCATATCATGTGATTTTTCCTTTCATCATTGCCGCTTTAATTGGTGGTGTCGAGGCCCAAAAACTCAAGGTAGTTCGTTGTTGTTCCTTTCTTTAAAACTTGCATTATGAAGAAGAAATTTCTAGCTGAGATACTCTCTAGTCTAGGACTTATTCTTAATTCTTAGTGGGACGTAAATAAATAATCAGTAAAAGAAAAATAGAAAATAAACCCATATCTCCATTGTGAATTGTGATCGAAATGGGTAAAACAAAAAGAGTGGCATTTTTTATATTTAAGTCTACAAGTTGGACTTTGTTTTAACAAGGATAACAAAGCTTTTTAAATTGAAAATAAATAGGAAACGTGGCAACTTGTGGAGCTGGGCGTCCGCGCTTAGCACGCCTCTAATAATATTTCATCTCCTTTCTTTTATGACTACACAAGGAGTAGCTAGCAGAGTAAGCTCTCATTAATTTTTAGATCGGAAACTAGCAATGGACGCGCAAGCATTACAATAGGAGATAATTTTACATCTTAGAAAAAGTTAATAATTGTTATACAATAGAAGTAGATTATTTATGTATATTTATACATGAATATATAATATACATAGGATATTGTCATATGAAGTTATTTATAATGTGTATATATAAGATATTGTCAATTATGTTCATCATTGCAATATTTCTGCGCATTGCAGCGGAAAAATACTATTCAATTATATAAAATATCAAAAACTTTTATAATATAAGACTAGTTAATATAAACTAAGATATATCTATATAGGTCTCGTTCATTTCACCGATTCGAGTTTTTAATTTTAAGTTTCTACAGTAAAAAGCTCTCAAAAAATGTCACATTTAATTTTTTCTATTATAGTGAAAAGCTCTCAAAAAATACGCGAAGTTAATAAGACCATAATATTTTAGTAAGAAGTTATTTACATTTTATATAATCAAAATAAGAATTTGTAAATAATGAATTAATTAATACAGCTATCGTATAACGTATTTGCAACTCTAGTTTACTCAAAATAAAGTAATATAAAAATGTCTACAATGATCACATGTTTACAATGATTAAAATTTTAAATTTACAATGCTAAGCATAATTATATAAAAAATAAATGAATAACATAAAAATAATACATAAACAAAATTCATATACAACTCAAGAAATAAGTATGAATTTTCATGTCCTATAGCTGCTTCCTCCTTCATAGCTGAACAAATAAATTAAAAGTCCTCTATAACAAAATTTGGTTGTATAAATTTTAGAGAAGGAAGAGAAAGAAATTTGAGAAAACTAAAAAAATATAAATCAATAAATCAATAAACCAAAAAAAATAATAAAAAAACAAAGAAAGAAAACTAATAAAGGATAAATATGATAATATTTTAATATAGTAATTATGTCCAAGATATCCAATATTCTCAACAATATGTGACAGAAATTGATAAATACTTTTGTAGCTGCCAATGTAATTGGTTTTGCCAAAATAAAAGACATCACTCGCACCTACACAAAAGCACATAAATAGAGAAAAATTGTTTGCTCTAGAATTGCATTTAATACCTCTGCAGCAAAATTGGTACAAATCAGCATGATACAAAGCCTAACTCATCAATACAATAAACGAAATAGAAAAAATTCGAGATTTACCCATGCACGGCATGCAATCAGCAGGGAAAAAATGACCAACGATCAACACAAAAGCCCTGCACAAAAGAATCAATCAAACCAAAGGATAAGGCATCTAGAAAATTTTTTGACAAAATAGTAGATTTTGATGAGTCAGTAACGATGAAACAAACCAACCAAGGAAAAAAAGAAGCAACCCAAACCAAAATAGTGAGTCAAACGGACAAAGCCAAAATCGCAAATGAAAGCAACGGAAAAGCAACCAAGGATAGCCAAAGTGTTAGCAAAAACAAAGCAAGTAATGAACGCACTTTTCGAGACAGTGCCAATCTCCTCTCAATGGTTAATTTCTTATTCAACATCCCCAAATGAAAATACAAATCCAGCTTATATAGCCTCTGCGATTCTTCAATAGAAAATAACAAAATTAGCTAAATGGCTAAATGGCTAAATGGAATAACAGAAACGGTTATGGATTATGGGGATTTGCAATATCCTCAGCGTCTCTCTGCAAGCACGAAATCCCTAAGCCAGCGTGGCTTTGCTCGCTTCCTGACCTCACGCGGCACCCCTGAGTTCTCTTTGATAATCTCCCAGTCTCCTCCAGCTAATTTGTTGCCCTATTTGGAGAAACAGCTTCCTTTCTCTGTCGTTTGGGCCTCTTCCTCTTGGACTTCCTGTTGGGCCCACTTGCCCATTTGGTCTTGGATATGGATGTTGTCCAAAGTCACTCCTGTCCAACTATCACTTCTCCCTCCCTCGAAAACGACCTTGTCCTCAAGGTCGGGCACATTGTACAGCCTGCTGA